AAGCCTTGCAACCACCGCCTCCCCTCCTCCTCCTCTTCACCCTGCCTCCAATCTGCCTTCAATCTGCTTCCCGCTGCCAAATGCCGCCACCAGTGCCTAGGTCCCGGGGGATTGTGCACGCTCCATCGCAGGAGCCTTTCCGATCTGAAGGCCGCACCGGGACCTAGGGCGCCAAACCTCCTTTCAATAAAATACTCAAAACTTCCTGTTTTCTCGTCTCTCCAAATTGAATTCCCACTAAAACATGGAGGTACATGGAGGTTTGACTCATTTTTAGTTTAGTTTTGCAAGCGTATAAGCGAGAGGGCCAATGCTTCTTTATTTTGTGCAATGCGAAAATGTAGCTGGTGCGGTTTATACAGGTGTGGCAGGTTTATTGTATACACAGTTCATACTCAAAGCAACTCAAAAAACGTAACCAAAAAGAAAAGAAACATCGATATCACACAAGGAATTAACATCATATATATAATCACAGTAGGGCTGGGCGATATGGCTGAAAACTATGTGACAATATTATTAATTCATATCGGTCGATAACGATATATATTGATTGTTTTTTATTTATTTTTAAAAACGTAAATAAATAAATTTGTTGTGTCGGTTAACACATGTTAGTATGGAGCTATTATTGTTTCAATAATATTTGTGTGTGCGTAAAAAGATTTGTGCGTGCGTAACCAGATTTGTGTGTGCGTACCCAGATTTGTGTGTGCGTAACCAGATTTGTGCGTGCGTAACCAGATTTGTGTGTGTGTAAAAGAAATATTTGTGCGTGTCTAAATAGATTTGTATGTACGTATCAAGATTTGTGTGTGCGTAAAAAGATTTGTGTGTGCGTAAAAAGATTTGTGTGTGCGTAGAAAGATTTGTGTGTGTGTAAAGAAAAAAAAAAGTACGTTTTACACACAAGTTTTTTTTTTACACACGAATCTTTTGACGCAGTCCTGCCTTTGCAGATTCGCAAGTGTAACTTGGACTGTGTGCGTGCGTAAACAGATTTGTGTGTGTGTAATTTGACATTTGTATCTGTAGCAGAACAATCTGTGTGTAAATAACCGCGTTGTACAAAGAGAAGAACGAAAAAAGCCTAAGTGCTACGCACAGGCTCTGTTTTACACACGAATCTCTTTTTGACACACCTCTGCCGCCAAGCGTGTGTCAAAAAGATTTGTAAGTGTAATGTGGTTGTTCTAGCAGTACACCAGCAGATGGTGCTGTTGTAGCTGGTTATTACCTACAGGCAAGCAAACCAAAACCTACTGCCTTGACAAGACACACTACCGCAGCTGTTTATGATATTTTTTTCCTATTTTCAAAATCCTGTCATTCACACCACTGTATGATACATGGATCTATTATAATAACTGGATAGGGTGTTACTAGCTTGGAGCTGAAGGATTCTCACGTACTGCAGACTAAATTCACGTTGGCTACACAGAAATTTTCCCCATAGAACTCAAAGTAAACTAAAACAGCTGACAGATAACCTACAGCTTTCATAAAGGTCGGATTTTGTGGGAATTTTAGTGTTCCTTGTCATCCTGAACTTTTCTTCTTGTTAAATCCTTCGGTTTTCTCTATCTACACTTGTTGGTTTGCTTGCCTGTAGGTAATAACCAGCTACAACAGCACCATCTGCTGGTGTACTGCTAGAACAACCACATTACACTTACAAATCTTTTTGACACACGCTTGGCGGCAGAGGTGTGTCAAAAAGAGATTCGTGTGTAAAACAGAGCCTGTGCGTAGCACTTAGGCTTTTTTCGTTCTTCTCTTTGTACAACGCGGTTATTTACACACAGATTGTTCTGCTACAGATACAAATGTCAAATTACACACACACAAATCTCTTTACGCACGCACACAGTCCAAGTTACACTTGCGAATCTGCAAAGGCAGGACTGCGTCAAAAGATTCGTGTGTAAAAAAAAAACTTGTGTGTAAAACGTACTTTTTTTTTTCTTTACACACACACAAATCTTTCTACGCACACACAAATCTTTTTACGCACACACAAATCTTTTTACGCACACACAAATCTTGATACGTACATACAAATCTATTTAGACATGCACAAATATTTCTTTTACACACACACAAATCTGGTTACGCACGCACAAATCTGGTTACGCACACACAAATCTGGGTACGCACACACAAATCTGGTTACGCACGCACAAATCTTTTTACGCACACACAAATATTATTGAAACAATAATAGCTCCATAGTTAGCAGCCTTGTTTACAGTCACGGGGGAATGAGGCTGGAGCCAAATGTTCACAAGCAGTCTCCCCCACTTTAGTCCTGGTTTAATCCTGGTTTAGCTCCTGTTTTGGCTGTTTTCGAGTGTCTTGTGTCCCTGTGGCGGCTCCGGAAAAAGGTAATCGCTTGCTTTTGCCGAATGCATAGAGTCTCTGTACCCACTGCCTCTCCCGCGCCGCACATGCTGTTCCTCGCACGGACGTGTTTAACCGTTGACACGGCACTGAAACACGATCTTTAGATCCATGGCTATTATAATAGATCCATGATCCATGGATGCTACGCATGGTGCGGTTGTTTTTATGCTTTTCCCAGAAAGTTTTGCGGTTTGTAGTCGGCTGTGATAGGTCGAGAAGCCTTTGCCTACATCCCCCAGAATGCCGTGCGCTTCTGACTCGGCTTTACTTCCTGTGTTTTGTTCCTGTTTTTTTCCGAACGGACTGAAGTGAAACTATCGAAGTTCTATCGACCCTGTTTTCTATTGATATCGAACACGTGTCTATCGCAATATATATCGTTAGCGTTTTATCGCCCAGCCCTAAATCACAGTACATTAAACAAATAGAGACAGTACAATCCTTCAGTTGTATGCACAGTTAAGCAGAACTGTTTTCAACCTGGATTTGAACATTGTCAGAGAATAAGCCTGTCTCATGTTTTCAGGAAGACTATTCCAGATTTTAGCTGCATGAATCTGAAACGCTGTACTCACTAATAGATGCTTGGATGAAGCAGATGCTTATTGTTTCCCACCTCCTCTCACACATTTAACACAATAATACACAGAATACAATCAAACTAATCAAGATTCTCAATACAATTATGACACTGTGCCGTACATACCGTAATAACGGCTTATTAAACGAGCGCAAGGTCTGTACAGAGAAATATCAGACCGCGGCCTTTTTGTACAGTGCAAAAAGACCAAGGTCTGATATTTCTCTGTACAGACCGAGCAAGCGAGTTTAATAAATGTTTCATTATATGACTATTTTTTCATTTATGCAAATATCGATCTCCAACTTGGTTTTCCTAATCGTGTTTTTAGCTTTCTGATCTGTAACAAAGTTGTCAATCTCTTGTGTTTTTCTCGTTATTTGCTGTTATTACTTCCTTTGGCTCTTCGAAGTCGTCGTCGCTCATTCTTTTTTTACCGAGGAAAGATATCAAATGTGATACGCGCTGTGGACCAATTGTCATGGTAACGGTCCGAGATGGGAAAATATCAGACTGCAAATCAACCAATCAGAGCACGCGAACGATCCAAGTCATATGATAATGTCAAATACCGTACTATATAGTATGAAAATAATTGGGTGAAAAATATATGTATTATTGGAGCCTGTTGGCTCCAACGAACCAGGACCTACAACATGCACTGGGACGGTTTGCAGCCGAGTGTGAAGCGGCTGGGATGAGAATCAGCACCTCCAAATCTGAGGCCATGGTGCTCGACCGGAAAAAGGTGCCTTTCCCTCTCCGGGTGGGAGGAGAGGCCCTTCCTCAAGTGGAGGAGTTCAAGTATCTCGGGGTCTTGTTCACGAGTGAGGGAAGGATGGAGCGTGAGATTGACAGGCGGATCGGTGCAGCGTGCGCAGTGATGCGGTCGCTGTATCGGACCGTTGTGGTAAAGAGGGAGCTGAGCCGAAAGGCAAAGCTCTCAATTTACCGGTCAATCTTCGTCCCCTCCCTCACCTATGGTCATGAGCTTTGGGTAATGACCGAAAGAACAAGATCGCGGATACAAGCGGTCGAAATGAGCTTCCTCCGCAGAGTGGCTGGGCGCTCCCTTAGAGATAGGGTGAGGAGCTCAGTCACACGGGAGGAGCTCGGAGTAGAACCGCTGCTACTCCACGTCGAGAGGAACCAGTTGAGGTGGCTCGGGCATCTGTTCCGGATGCCTCCTGGACGCCTCCCTGGGGAGGTGTTCCGGGCATGTCCCACCGGGAGGAGGCCCCGGGGAAGACCCAGGACACGCTGGAGGGACTATGTCTCTCAGCTGGCCTGGGAACGCCTTGGAGTCCCCCCGGACGAGCTGGAGAAGGTGTGTGTGGATAGGGAAGTCTGGGCGTCTCTGCTTAGACTGCTGCCCCCGCGACCTGGCAACGGATGAAGCGGAAGAAAATGGATGGATGGATATATGTATTATTTTCTAACATATACCAGGGATTCTGTCCCTCGAAGAAAAGTCATCATCACTTGTTTAAAAATGACTAAAGATGTACAGGTCTGGGATCGTGTCTCAGCAGAAGAAAAGTTTCACAGCGTTTCACATGGCACCTCTACCTCAGCACCGCTCTGGTTCTGTCCTGGTTTAGTTCCTTTGTAGTACTGATTTCTGAGTGCCCAGAGTCAGGACTATACATGGGGAGGCTGCTTTTCAGATTCATGCTGCTAAAACCTGGAACAATCTTCCTGAAGATGTGAGACATTCCTCCTCTCTGACAAGGTTGAAAACAGTTCTGTTTAGCTGTGCATACAACTGAGGGATTTTATATTTTTATCTTTCTTTTTAATGTACTGTGATTATTTATGATTTTAATGCTATCTTGTTTTGTTGAGCACTTTGAATTGCCTTGTGTATTAATTGTGCTATACAAATAAACTTGCCTTGCCTTGCCTTCTGTTGCATCTGTTGTAATGACAAGCTCAGTATTAAAATAATTCCACAAAAAGTCTCATAAATGATCCATAACACGTTTCCATTACTGATATTGTTGCTGTTTTGTGCAGGATGCCCGACCACCCAGAGTTTGCGCGCGCCGGGCAGCAGACCGGTCTGCAGGTCTGGAGGGTGGAGAGCTTCGACCTGGTCCCGGTGCCTCAGAACCTGCAGGGAGGCTTCTACACCGGAGACTCTTACCTCATCCTCAACACCATCAAGCAGAGGTCTGGAGCTCTGCAGTATGACCTGCACTTCTGGCTCGGTACGAAATCTATGGTCACTAAACTTGATTATATTACTTTATTAAATTAACCACACTTGAGACAGACTTCTGTGTTCAATAATTTATATGGACTCAAACCAGTACCATACTCCTTTTACAATACATTTAAAACAAGATCGCTTTGATTCAAATGACAAATTAAGATAAGATAAATTGTCCCCAAGGGAAATTTGCTGTGGTGCTACACAGATCTGCAGGAAAGAAAGAATAAAAAAGGAACCTGAGAATATATAAACAGAAAAGTGCAGTAGTGCTTTGCGGTCTCTGTTTGGTCCAATTCTTTTATAATTATAGGTCCTTCATAAAAACTGAAATAGTTCATACAGTTTTAGGATGTATTCATTATTAATATATATATATATTTTTTTTCTAATTCACATTAGCATACAACAATATTATCACTATTAACCAAGGAGTACATTATATACGTTACAAATCTCCTTCCCATATGTACCCTCCCTCACCTCTGGACTTTTCTGGTTCAATTTTTATTCAATTTCCAACTTGTGTAAACATTCTGCTACTCAAGTTCACACAGGATCAGGTTCATTTTGTTAGATTTGTCATTTTATGTGATTTAGGCTATATCCACACGAAGACAAAACGCTTATAATTTCAGAAACTTTTTCTTTAAACACGGAGTTAGCTCAGTAAATGTGTGCGTCCATATGAATGTAGTCAATACGCCTGAAAACGCTGTGAAACTATGCCAGACCTGTTGGTGGCGCTGTGACGCAATGACGCGATCAAGCCCAAACTTCCGTGACGGGAACTGGGCAAGCGCAGAATTTTGTAAACAGACAACATGGCGAGTGGGCGAGCTGGTACTACATTAGTATGGACGGACGATGAGGTTGAACTGTTGCTTCGGGTCGCACTGGATTACAAAACCAACAAGCTACATTGTTGTTGTCATTATTTTCTGAGTGCGGCGCATGCGTGCTTTAACAAGAGGCGGGGCGATGACGCAAGCGTCTCAGATACATTGCGGAGAGGCAGTAACCACGGAGCGGCATATACGGAGTTTTGAAATCTTTCCACTCTGGGACCTACTTTCAAAAATGTTCGTTTACACCCCCCCAAAACGCCGGCCTCGTATGGACGATACACTGGATTGATAAAGTATTTTTGCGTTTAGGCCTGAGCTTGACTTCGTGTGGACCGGGTCTTAGTGTGATAAATAACACGCAGAAATTAAGTCTTATCGGTCAATCCTTAAATGGTTCCTATCTTGCTTTAAAATGACAATATCAGAAAATTCACACCAGGATCACTGAGAGCTAGAGGAGTTTTTTTATTTTTAATGCAAGTCAATAGGAGCCAGAGTGAGTTGGAGCAAAACTTTGTCCATGAGCACTTTCCTATTGGGCTTCATTGAGCTAGGGCAGCCATTCCCAAACTCAGTAACACCGAGGCCCCCTTAAAAATCTGACGGGTCTGAGTGGCCCCCCAAAATAATAACCAAGAAGACAACATTAAGAATAGGCTCTTCTGGTTATTTTATTTTGGGGAAATAGCCTCTGCTACAAACATTGTAATACAAAAATGATTACAGTGGATTATTCAAGTCAAATAATGAACACAAATATTTTAATATTACAAACAAAACATTATAAATTTAACATTAAATAATTATATATCTATATATATTTTTTTTATGACCTCCGGGCCCCCCTGCAGTACCCTCGCGGCCCACCAGGGGCCGCGGACCCCAGCTGAACTCTCTGAATGGGAAGGTGTATTTCCTTCTGCAACAAGGTAGCGAGTTGAGCACCACTCACTGCTGCACAGAGCTCCAGGCGGGGCATGGAGAGTTGCTTCCGAGGGGCAATCCTGGACCGGGCCATGACAAAGGAGACAGACACCTGGCCAAGATGATCTTCAGATCGAAGGTAAGCTACCGACCCATAAGCCCGCTCAGAAGAGTCACAAAAGACATGAAGCTCTCTTTTAATGCTTGACAGCTCTAGACTAGTCGACTCAAAGCACCGAGGAAAGACAACTTGAGGGAGCAATGCAAGTTCATCATACCAAGAGTTCCATCTATCGGCCAAAGCAGGGTCTACAACAGGATCGTCCCATCCTCTTGGGGAGCTCCACAAGTCTTGCACAAACACCTTGGCCCGGGTGAGAAAGGGAAGAATGTACCCCAAAGGGTCATACTGACTGGCAAGTATGCGATAGACATCTCTCAGAGTTGGACTTGGATTGGCAAAAGAGAGAGCTTTGCATCTGTAACTGAAGACATCAGTACGACAGTTCCATCGCAGACAAGCGTTGGTTCTTGTGGGTCATTGGTTGTGTGAGAAAGCCACAGGTCACAGGAACTGGAACGAGCGGATTTCGGAAGATTTTCTACTACAGAAGGGTCATTGCTTGCCCATTGTCGGATTTCAAAGCCGCCAGTAAGAAGGAAAGAGCGCAGATCCTCAACAAATCTTTGTGCTGAATCTGCCGAAGGGAAGCTGTGTAGACAGTTAGACGTAAAATGACTGTTCGACTGCTTTCCGAAGGTTGTTCTCTGGGTCAAGGTGATCTTTGGCATGCCGTTGGAGAGCATAGATCGCACAACATGGGCTACAAGTGGTACCGAACGGTAAGACCTGCCACTCATAGACTGTCGGTTCATCCGGCTTCAGGTCTCTCCACAAAAACCGGAGTAGGGGGGTGTCTTCAGGGAGCAAACGCACCTGGTGAAACATTGCCTTGATGTCTGCTATAACGGCCACTTGATGCTGTCTGAAACGAAGAAGCACACCAAGTAATGATGGTCCAAGGACTGGACCAGGTAAAAGGCAATCATTCAGGTTTTGGCCCTGGTGACTATAAGAGCAGTTAAACACCAGTCTGTGTTTGCCATTGTGCTGGGACACCACATGATGTGGGAGAAACCAGGATTCTGTGCCAAGAGCCGATTTAGTATCTACTTGGGTTACATAGCCTGCTTCAAGCAACATCTCGATTTCTCTTGAGTGTACTTTGGACAACACAGGGTCTTTCCTAAGCCTATGTTCTGCCCTCAGAAGAACCGGAAGGAAGGAAGCCGGGTCTGAGCAAAGAGAGGGAAACTGAGGGTGGCGTAGCAAAGGAGTGACATACCGCAGCTGGCCATCTACCTCCAGTCTTTGTGTCCTAGAGTCCAAAAGTGCAAGAGCATACTGATCTTGTTTTGATCGGGTCACTTCCTTCTCGTTGTGCCGGGGGAACGTATCCAGCTGCCATAACTTCACCACGTTTCTCATCACATCATCTGAGAAAGGGGTAGCAGTGAAAAGGCATTGCATGTCTGGGACTGAAGCAGGGTTGACTGAGGAAGGACCTTGAAGAGCCCATCCAAGTGCAGTATGGACACCAGATGGACTGCCTGAAGGACCAAAATTAATAGGTTCAATAGGGACAATGAGATGATGATGATCAGACCCAAGAAGGACCGTAGGCTGAACCCCATCAAGAATTGGCAATGGCAAGTCTCTCAAATGTTCATAGCGCTTCTGCAATGCTGCAGTAGGGCAAGAATGCTTCATCAAATTCAAAACATCAGCGGTGAAAGCATTCTTCACTTTATACGTGGTGGACTTGTCATCAATTGGTGAAATGGAAAAGCTTACTCTTGTGCCCTGCACTTGAAGAACATCATGACGCACAGTCTGAAGGTTTAGGGTTCTGACTGGCCTGAAAGACAGAGTGCTTCTACAGCTGAAGGCAGAATAATGGAACGTTCTGACCCGTCATCCAAGATGGCATAAGACTCAAATTGGAAGTCACCATTATGAAGAACAACAGGAACCACTTTGAGAATGACACGTGCAGAACGATTTGGACGGTCAAGATAAAGGTCAGGATTGGGCATGCTCACCATGAGACACGACTGGCCGGCGGGAGTCAAAGTGTCGTGCAGATATTGTCAAGTGAAGCTGGCTGCACACTCCGCATGGCCTCTTCAGTGTACAAGCCTCCGGAGGGTGAGTTCTACAGCACTTCCAACAGCGTCTGTTTTCACGGATCCAAGAGCGCCTCTCCTCCACCGTCAGCTTGGCAAACTTCTGGCAACCATTGAGAAAGTGTTCATGAGTGTTACAGAAAGGACAATAGGGTTGGAATTTTGCCTTCTTTGGATGCTTCTCCACAGGGTTGAGGGAAACATTCTGCCTCGGAGCCGCCTTTGTCTCGGTTGACAAATACATGGTAGCTGGCCTATCAAACTCCCGTGGTGGAGGTTTGGGATTGGTTCGTACCTCCCTCCTGTCCCACTCAGCAGCAAAAGTTGTGTTGTGAGACAAGCGGCGAGCACGAGCTTTAAAGGCACACCGCGGACTTTGTGACCTAAAGAGTTGACACATATGAGTTATTTTATATGAATACTTGGGCCAATATACAGCGCTTGACACTTGCAATGCTCCGAGCGGGGCTGCCCTCTTGAAATACCGCCCATGTAACTTTCGAGCAGACGGACCGTCTGCCACCAGGTCACGTGACTTGGAAGAAAGACTTGCTTTACGGCTACAGGCGCTGATATACTCATGGAGCTAAGGCTTTTGCTACTCATTTTTCACCTGCTCGACTCCTGGTCATGGCTGAGGCAAGGAAAAATTTTAAACCTTTGGAGGAGGCTAAAAAGAGGAAACGCGAAAGGGATCGTGCTGTAAGCTGCATGTCTGTATGAGCGCTGCTGTTCACCTGGTTCCTGGATGTCATCGACCGCAACGATGTCATTCCACGCAGCACGAGCTAGACGCAGAACTCCCTCATCCAGGATATAGAAGTCCATGTGTGGTAGATTACTAATGCAGCGGTCTGGAGGCTGACCACAGCAGAGTCTCTCAATATCTGTAGGCATGTCTCTACAGTTTGAACACACACACCAGTGCATGCTGTCTGAATACACACTCAAAAGACACCGGCTGACTGTTTGACTTTTGCGACAGTGCTGAGTTGCTTGTGGCCACTAGGGGCGCTAAACGTGAAAGTTGCAGGTCTAGCGCCCCTAGTGGCCAAGAGTTACACGGTGTGCCTTTAACCTGCAACCACACAGACAAATCATTCAACGTATAAGTCTGCAAAACACCATCTTGCAAGATACCCCTCTGAATACAATGTTCAACAAAGGAATCACGATAATTAGATGGTAATTTGCTCAGAAGCCTGTCCACATGCGATCCACAGCTTACTTCTGTACCATCCCTTCCTTCTATCGAGATAAGTAGTCCGACCAGAGACTGTACAGCCAGAGCAAACTCTTCGAACGCAGCCACATCATTTGCTTTAACAGACGCAGAGTTGAGAATGCGCGCTATCTCACTCTGTATCAAGTGACGTGGCTGCCCGTATCGTGAAGTCAATGCATGCATGGCTGAGGTGTATGGCTGAGGATGATGAATGTGAGCTCTGGCCAGTTGGTAAGCAGGTGGATGCTTGAGTCTCTCAAGTAGGATCTGGTACTTATACTGCTCGGATAAATGAGGGTGGTTCCCGAGTAAGCTGTCAAAGGCCATCTTTAATAACAAAAAGTCACTTTCCTTGCCGGTGTCAAATCGAGGGAGCTGCGGCTTTGGGATGCCGTAGGTCGTTGCTATCAACAGTTCAGTCATATTCGGGGAATAACCAGCATTTACAGGGACTTGTATCGGAGGAGCTGATGGGACAGAATGGGACAGAGATGAAGCTGAGGAAGTGGAGGCCATGTCTGCTTCTGGACTAGGCTGGAGCGGAGCCGGCGGCTGGAGCGGAGCCGGCGGCTGGAGCGGAGCCGGCGGCTGGAGCGGCGCAGGCTGAGGCGCAGGCTGAGGCGCAGGCTGAGGCGCAGGCTGAGGCGCAGGCTGAGGTGCAGGCTGAGGCGCAGGCTGAGGCGCAGGCTGAGGCGCAGGCTGAGGCGCAGGCTGAGGCGCAGGAGGCTGCAGACGGACAGGCTGAGGCGCAGGAGGCTGCAGACGGACAGGCTGAGGCGCAGGAGGCTGCAGACGGACAGGCTGAGGCGCAGGAGGCTGCAGACGGACAGGCTGAGGCGCTTCATGCAGACTGAGTCCCGACGCTAACATAGCGCTCTCTGGTCGTAGATTGGTGCTGGACCGAAGCATAGGACTAGGATATTTCAGAAGCTGGGACACCATCCTTGCCTCCTCATAATCTCTCTCTGCCTGGCGTATGCGTCTGGCTCGAGTCAAACTGTTAGATAAATTCTCACGGGCCATGGAAGCTTCTCTGGCCTGTGTATCCATGCGGCGTAGACACTCCTCAGCCTTTTCTTCCTCTTGCTGCTGACGATGGAGTTCATCCAACTCCATGTGTCTGAGCCTCTCCTCCACCTGGGCCAGCTCTGATTGGTCAAGGGATTCTTTTAACGCATCCATTGGTCTCCGACTGCGTTTAGAAAATGTGCTTCCATCAGACAGTGACTCCGCAATATCAGACTGGGAATGTGCGTCATATTGTTTTGGCAACAGACTGACCTCATAGTCTTTGAAATGTGCCGGAATCCTCCTTTGCCTTCCACTGCTCCTCAGGCTTGGGTTCGGAATCCTGGATTTCTGTTTAGGACGAGCTCCTAGTTCATGTAGAGCAGTAGTTGCGCCTCCGGTGTCCACTGTGTGAATCCCATGCTGTGACTGGACGTCATATGAGACTGGCTTCACGGTGGTGCCTTGTGCTGCAGTTGCTCCATGCAGTGAACGGAAGCTGCCTGTGTACTCCATTCCTCCCCCATCTTGGCTATCATGAGTGGGCAGCAGAAGAGAAGGTGCACTTCTTGAGACCTGTATGGCTTTATCCATCTTGGGCATATCCGGCTCGAAGGACCATGTAAAATTGTAATTGAATAAATAGCCGGTGAAAAAAGCCCAAGTGAATAAAAGGTCTCAAGACAGGATCAGTTTAAGGATTTAATATGGCATCAGACATGGTTTTTACACACTGCAACAAAGCAGAAACAAAATGCATATTAACAAAAATTAACAATGAAACTAAAAATGGGAATCAACTGAAACTCACATGACGCATGCTGATCCATAGCCTGGATTGAAATGAAAGGGGAAACAATGGGCTTCCAGGACTTAAAATGGCTGCCTAATTGCACCCAGGTGTGTAGGTGTGGGGGGGCGGAGCCAGCAGAGGGGTGTGGTTGAGGGATTTCTCACAAATGTACTGTGATTATTTATGATTTTAATGCTATCTTGTTTTGTTCAGCACTTTGAATTGCCTTGTGTATTAATTGTGCTATACATATAAACTTGCCTTGCCTTGCCTTCTGTTGCATCTGTTGTAATGACAAGCTCAGTATTAAAATAATTCCACAAAAAGTCTCATAAATGATCCATAACACGTTTCCATTACTGATATTGTTGCTGTTTTGTGCAGGATGCCCGACCACCCAGAGTTTGCGCGCGCCGGGCAGCAGACCGGTCTGCAGGTCTGGAGGGTGGAGAGCTTCGACCTGGTCCCGGTGCCTCAGAACCTGCAGGGAGGCTTCTACACCGGAGACTCTTACCTCATCCTCAACACCATCAAGCAGAGGTCTGGAGCTCTGCAGTATGACCTGCACTTCTGGCTCGGTACGAAATCTATGGTCACTAAACTTGATTATATTACTTTATTAAATTAACCACACTTGAGACAGACTTCTGTGTTCAATAATTTATATGGACTCAAACCAGTACCATACTCCTTTTACAATACATTTAAAACAAGATCGCTTTGATTCAAATGACAAATTAAGATAAGTAAATTGTCCCCAAGGGAAATTTGCTGTGGTGCTACACAGATCTGCAGGAAAGAAAGAATAAAAAAGGAACCTGAGAATATATAAACAGAAAAGTGCAGTAGTGCTTTGCGGTCTCTGTTTGGTCCAATTCTTTTATAATTATAGGTCCTTCATAAAAACTGAAATAGTTCATACAGTTTTAGGATGTATTCATTATTAATATATATATATATTTTTTTTCTAATTCACATTAGCATACAACAATATTATCACTATTAACCAAGGAGTACATTATATACGTTACAAATCTCCTTCCCATATGTACCCTCCCTCACCTCTGGACTTTTCTGGTTCAATTTTTATTCAATTTCCAACTTGTGTAAACATTCTGCTACTCAAGTTCACACAGGATCAGGTTCATTTTGTTAGATTTGTCATTTTATGTGATTTAGGCTATATCCACACGAAGACAAAACGCTTATAATTTCAGAAACTTTTTCTTTAAACACGGAGTTAGCTCAGTAAATGTGTGCGTCCATATGAATGTAGTCAATACGCCTGAAAACGCTGTGAAACTATGCCAGACCTGTTGGTGGCGCTGTGACGCAATGACGCGATCAAGCCCAAACTTCCGTGACGGGAACTGGGCAAGCGCAGAATTTTGTAAACAGACAACATGGCGAGTGGGCGAGCTGGTACTACATTAGTATGGACGGACGATGAGGTTGAACTGTTGCTTCGGGTCGCACTGGATTACAAAACCAACAAGCTACATTGTTGTTGTCATTATTTTCTGAGTGCGGCGCATGCGTGCTTTAACAAGAGGCGGGGCGATGACGCAAGCGTCTCAGATACATTGCGGAGAGGCAGTAACCACGGAGCGGCATATACGGAGTTTTGAAATCTTTCCACTCTGGGACCTACTTTCAAAAATGTTCGTTTACACCCCCCCAAAACGCCGGCCTCGTATGGACGATACACTGGATTGATAAAGTATTTTTGCGTTTAGGCCTGAGCTTGACTTCGTGTGGACCGGGTCTTAGTGTGATAAATAACACGCAGAAATTAAGTCTTATCGGTCAATCCTTAAATGGTTCCTATCTTGCTTTAAAATGACAATATCAGAAAATTCACACCAGGATCACTGAGAGCTAGAGGAGTTTTTTTATTTTTAATGCAAGTCAATAGGAGCCAGAGTGAGTTGGAGCAAAACTTTGTCCATGAGCACTTTCCTATTGGGCTTCATTGAGCTAGGGCAGCCATTCCCAAACTCAGTAACACCGAGGCCCCCTTAAAAATCTGACGGGTCTGAGTGGCCCCCCAAAATAATAACCAAGAAGACAACATTAAGAATAGGCTCTTCTGGTTATTTTATTTTGGGGAAATAGCCTCTGCTACAAACATTGTAATACAAAAATTATTACAGTGGATTATTCAAGTCAAATAATGAACACAAATATTTTAATATTACAAACAAAACATTATAAATTTAACATTAAATTAAAGCCGCAAGCGGCGATGAAAGGCCTCGCCCCTCTTGCGACCGCCTCCCGGGCGCCAGTCCCACAAGCGTCACGCCGACGAATTGGCAGCCCGATCTGACCAGGATTACGAATAAAAAAGCTTATTAATATGATAAAGTGCGCCCCTAGTGGTCACCTTCGGGACATGCACCCTCTACGTAGAGTAATATTTTGCTCGTACAGATGTAAAGATTTGATTTTGCAACTTTGGTGAAGATCGGAAAAGTTTAGGTCAGAAGCCTTACATAGGTGGCGCTGTAGAGTCATATTAGGTGTGTGTTTTCACACCATTAAACTCAGGCCATTACCAACTGTTAGCGACGTGAGTTTCAGCTCTGTAGGTCTGAGCCTGTGGTCAGGAGAGCATCAAACATGGAGAAATTCCCCGCTACCTCGAATGAAAACGATAACAAAATTCTAACTTTTATGTGATGATTGCATAACTTCAATCCGTCCAGATGGAGAAATGACATGGTAGAAGTCTGTGCGATGAAAATCCAGGGACTAGTACGAAGCCAAAAATGCAACACCTTGAACTGCCTGTAGGTGGCGCTGTTGCACTCACAGTTGTGTGTTGCATATCGTTGTGTTCAGGGTCATACGCTGTATTTCTGAATTCATTTTTAGCCTCATCGGACAAACATTTTGCCCTAAAAAGCTCATTCATTCACTTTCCGGCGCCCCCATGTGGTCAGGTGTGGGACGTACAACTTTTGCGTAATGTAATGTTTTGCTCGTCTCGGTCCAGAGAATACACTCAGCGATTTTCGGGCCGGTCCGAGCACTAGTGCCCTATTACTTTCCGACAGGTGGCGCTAAAGAGCTCATAATGGGCGAATGATTTTAGTGTCATTGCGTTCAGGCCATTACTTAATATTAATGATGTGAGTCTCAGCTCTGTAGGTCTGAGCCTGTGGCCCTCAGGGCTCAGCGAAAATGGCCAAAACGAAGGCCTTATTCGCCATGGCGAGGGACGAAAACGGTGAAGATTTTCTAACTTTTTGTTGATGATTATATAACTTCAATCCGTCCAGAGCGGGAAATGACGTGGTAGAGCTGTGTGTGATGAAAAACCAGGGACTAGTTCAAATTTATAAATGAAAAGTCAAATTAGTGGCGAAACTTTGGCCCATCATGGCCGACTTCCTGTTGGTCCCAGACATGTGCTTAGACCGGCTTTTATGCTCGTCTCATAGAGATCTATCACTCAGCCGAATTTCGTGTACCTACTCCAAAATATGCAATCCTGCCTCCAATAGAAATGGAAAATTTTGAATTTTCTAGGGGGCGCTATTGATTCGCCTTTTGTCGGACAATCTCGAAACGTCCGTTTTATCAAATTTTTCGCCGGACCGGTCGTTTTAGACCCCCCATGTGCAGACTTTCGTGCATGTCTTCAGGGTCAAAAATCGAATTGAAGATGCGGAAAAAGAATAATAATAATATGAAACCGGTGAATAACAATAGGCCTCCCCAATACAAAGTATTGGCTCGGCCTAATAATTATATATATATATATATATTTTTTTATGACCTCCCGCGGCCCCCCTGCAGTACCCTCGCGGCCCACCAGGGGGCCGCGGACCCCACTTTGGGAGACACTGAGCTAGGGTATCAGCATTGTGCCTTTAGATAGAGTCTATAGGACTAATATATAGTAATAATAATAATAATATAACTTGCTTTTGTCTGTCTGATATCAAAACCACGAGACGTTTTTGGAAACAGACTAATATGGAAGCTCATTGATCCCTTGTGCTTTTAGGGCGTCACATTGATTATTAAAACAACTCTACCCCATGAAGGGGCTGTGATGTAACCGGAACAAACTAGTGCTGCCCATAGCTCGCATCAGACTGTGGCAAAAGCAGTGTTTAGTATGTGTATGTGCCTTCTCTCCAGGGGACCACAGCTCACAGGACGAGAGAGGATCCGCCGCCATCTTCACGGTGCAAATGGACGATTACCTGGGAGGGAAGCCGATCCAGTACAGAGAGGTGCAAGGCCACGAGTCCAAGACCTTCCTGGGATACTTCAAGAGCGGAATCAAGTACATGGTAATTCTATTCAATTCAATCCTTAATCACTGCAGAAGTTATCTTGGACTTTACAAAGTTGTCAACAACAGATCAGTGTTGGCTCTCGGGCCTTAGTTTGGACATGCCTAAGTCAAAGTAAACCATCATGTATTGTGAATGGGGCCTTAGAAAGATAAGTATAGATCTTTAACTGTAGGTGAAACGGTCTGTGTGCTCTGACAGAAAGGCGGCGTGGCGTCAGGGTTCAAACACGTCGTCACCAACGAGGTCATCATGCAGCGGGTGCTACAGGTCAAAGGGCGCCGTGTTGTCCGGGCAACAGAGGTGCCCGTCAGCTGGGACAGTTTCAACCAGGGAGACTGCTTCATCCTGGACCTGGGCAACGTGAGTTTGTCTCCTGTTCACACACACATATGCATGCACACATACGCACAAACACACAGGTACAAACATACGCACACACACACACAGATATATATACACGCACACACACACACATACAAACTCACACACACGTTTCACACACACTTACATATTAACACAAACAAAGACACAAAAACACATGCACGCACACACACACATAGATATACACAGACACACACACACACACACGCACACACACACACACACACACACACACAGACATATAAAACACACACACGCACACACAGACACAGACACACACAGCTCTGGTTAAACTTCTCTGATCCCAACAGGAGATCTACCAGTGGTGCGGCTCCCAGAGTAACCGCTTCGAGAAGCTGAAGGCCACGCAGGTCGCCAAAGGTATCCGTGACAACGAGCGCAGTGGGCGGGCCCGAGTGTACGTATGCGACGAGGGGGCGGAGCGAGAGAAGATGCTGGAGGTTTGTCTCACTTCACTACAGCAGTGGATTCGTGTGTGTGTGAGTCTGTCTGTTTGTGTGTGTGTGTGTGTGTGTGTGTGTGTGTATTCATGTCTCTTTGTGATGTGTGTATGTGTGTGTAGGATGGTTTGTATATTTTGAAGGTGAATATTTATTGTCTGTACATTTTCTGTGCAATTTTAGTAGGACTTTTGCTCTGCGATTAAATTTGAGCCTGGTCACTTTTATGACTGAATATTTCTTATTTCTTAATTCTGCTGTTTATTTTGTACCACTTAAGAACGTCAATTGGAATGAGTGGACAGTATTGTAATTGTGGCAAATAGCATTTTCATTATATATAGCATTTTAGCTCAATACACATATCATGACAGGCCTACAGTATATGCAACGGTATAAGACCCTCAATGAATCCATGCCTTTGTTACATACAATAATAACCATAATGGAAAAGGGTTATGGAGACTTTTTGTGCATTGACAACAGTTGTGGCTGTACCTGCTTGGCCAGGGTCAGATCAAGAAGCTCGTATTTTTCTTATTGTTAGTACATTGTTGTGTGTTCCAGGTGTTGGGCCCCAAACCAGACCTGCCTGAAGGGGCCTCGGACGACATCAAGGCCGACGCCTCCAACAGGAAGAGAGCCAAACTTTACAAGGTACAATCGCACTCATATCGGAACATTAAATGAAAACATTACAGGCTGAGGATTTGTCAGAGTTTAAAAGCAGAGCATGAGACAGAAGGGGCGGGCTGATGTGTTTGCGGCAGAAGTCACTGATACTAGCAGGAATGCCATCACTTTTGGCCTCTGTGGGGCTTTTTCAAAATGGCCGTGGGCAATCCCTCCTGCAGGAAAATGTGAAAAAAGGCATTTGTGCATGCGTTAGCCGGCACCAGCCTCATTCATTTAACGAGTGCCTTCTCTCCACAGAGGCTAAACTAGACTGGTCCTAAAAAATATACTCCCCTCAGCATTGACACACATCTGGAACGTAGCTTTGGGCCAAGAGACGACCAAGACTTAACCAGGGCCAAACAGGTACTAAAAGAGTTCCTGGTATAGGTTCAACGAGGCTGGTGGAAACACTTCTAATCAGGGTAGAATAGAGCTGAGTAGAGTAGAGTACAGCCATGTAAGATTAAAACCTTTAGTCTTATTTTAAGCCTCTTTCTGTTGGGAAAAACTAGCATGTATATTCTACGGAAGAAGGGTTAGGTACCCCAGCTTTAGTTGGATAAATGCCATGGTGTAATAGTCAGTGTGGTGGGTGTTGCTGCAGGTGTCGGATGCGGGTGGGGACATGGCCATCGCGCTGGTCGCAGCAGAAAACCCGTTTGCTCAAAGCACTCTGGAGTCTGGAGACTGCTTCATCCTGGACCACGGCTCCGACGGAAGGATCTTTGTCTGGAAAGGTCGGTGTGGAAACAGTTTGACAAATCATCCAGAGACACATTTTTATTATTGATGCAAATCTGTACTTTTGTCTTGACTCGTGTGAATCATCAGTTCATATTTTTAGCAATTTAAATGTTTACCAATATTGATATAAATTGACTGAATCAAAGAAAAAGATCTATCCAGAGCCTGTGTGTCATCAACCTATGTCTGCTGCTGTGTCCGGCAACAAAGTGCTGACATATCAAAAATAATCAATCGATCAAATACACAATTCATATACTGTAACCCAAAGTGCTTCACAGGCATGTCAAAACTATACTATATAAAAACATAAATACACTTGAAACATATTGTATTAAAAATTCTGTTAAAAAAGTGACATTTATATTTATCCAATATGTGGACTCAGAAGATTACTTCTTTTTATCTTTTCTTTTTTTTTTTTTAAATCCTTTTTGAATGTGTTTTTATGTATGTCTTTCTGGTATGAACCTTTTACTCTTGTGTCCGAAATAAAGTATTGAATTGAATTGAAAAAAGTAAAAAAAAATAAAAAAAATAAACAAAAAGATGAATGTAAATATGCAAAGCTAAATAAAACAGTTTTCAGCCTGGACTTAACGTCGGCAAGAACGAGGTCTGTCTTACGAGACAATATTGAGATAATACACATTATCTAAGTTTTAGCACTTGCTTTGATTAAATCTCATGGGAAACTAAACATTTTTGGTGGAATTCCATTGGTTCGAAAGGAAGCAATCAAGATTAAGATTAAGTGGTTCTTCTTTTATTCGTCCCACACTGGGGAAATTTCAGTGTTGCATCACAAGTTACAAACAGCATGAATAAGGAGCACAGAGCACAGTATAAATGAATAATAACTCTTTACTAAAAGAAGAATAAATACATGAATTAAAATCTCTAACTCTAGTATAAAATGAAGCAGTATAAAATCTCTATCTTTAGCATAATAAGGAAGGAAGTCTAAAATCTCCAACTCTAAAGGACCATTCTGAGACTTTCAGAATTCTGGGTGTCGTCAAACACTGCTTTAGAAACAAAATCCTAAAATCCTGCGTACTCTTCTAATGTTCGACGTCTGCAGGTAAAGACGCCAACATGGACGAGCGTAAAGCAGCCATGAAGGCGGCGGACGAGTTCATAAAGAAGATGGGCTACCCCAAACACACACAGGTCCAGATCCTGCCGGAGATGGGCGAGACGCCGCTCTTCAAACAGTTCTTCAAAAACTGGAGGGACAAGGACCAGACGGAGGGTCTGGGCGTGGCCTACATCGCCAACTCCATCGCAAGGATCGAAAAAGTGCCCTTCGACGCGGCCTCCCTCCACGAGTCCGAGGCCATGGCTGCTCAGCACGGCATGGTGGATGACGGCAGCGGAGAGAAGCAGGTCAGACAGCTTTGAAATTATACTTTAACAGAGTTTTAACGTCAAAACACAAGAGGTACAGATAAGATTCCTCCGCAGACTTGCCTAGAGATAAGTTTAGTTCAGTCACACTCTGGGTCCAAGGACAGAGGTGGTGGTCCAGGACATTTATTAACATTTATTAGTATGGACGTTGGTCATCCGTCCCTTATAGACCAATGGCCCTATGTGTTTTTTTTTATCATAGCATTCTTTGTGTTTTAACAGTTTATACTTTTATCTGTGTTGGCAAATTTGTAAATTTCTCCGAGATAACTACTGTTGTGATTTAGGGCTATACAAAAATGAATTGAATTGAATTGAAGGAGCTCAGAGTAGAGCCGGTGCTTATCTGCTTATATCATTAAAATGCTATCACTGAAACAAGCCTTTTGCCAATACCCATTCATTCCAGTTCCAACACATGAACTAGTTCCGCTTTTCATATGTTTAAGACAGTAATAACCAGTTTTTTTTATGTATTTAAAAATCAGTGAGGTGACGTCTAAGCTGGAAATCATTAAAACAAAGAATTGATTCCGATTTGCCATTTGCAGTAAAACCACATTGGAATATGTGTGTGAATATCCCCTAGTGTGTACCAGACAAGTACATAATATAGAACAAGCTAAAAAATATAATAAACAATTGTCACTATGAAAGCAATCAACAAAAACACCTTCAATAACAAGTGCAATATCATTAAAGTGCTTGGTTCAGACAAACAATATCTTCTGCCAAAAGGGAAGAAGCTAGAACATGGCTTTTCCAGGGGTCAGAAGAGTCATTAATTATCTTCAGAGCTCGGTTTAAGAGTCTGGATTCGTAAAGAACCTCCAGAACAGTCGGCTCCTTGTTCAGAGTTCTCCTTTCTTTGGTTGTGATGTCACCAAACCACACATTCACAGAACCAACAAGCAAACTTTCAATAGTGTAGCAATAAAATTTAAGCAGAATCTTAGGAGTTTGTGGTGAATAGTACCTGATTTTACCTACTTCCGCTGGTATTATTCCAGATCTGGCGCATCGAGGGCGCAGACAAAGTGGCCGTGGACCCGTCGACTCACGGACAGTTTTACGGCGGAGACAGTTACATTATCCTGTACAACTACAACCACGGAGGGCGGCGCGGACACATCATCTACATGTGGTGCGTGTCTCTCTGCCTTCACACGGAGACAAAATTACTCTGTGGTTCTTTGGCTTCTGCTGGACTCGGAAGTTCAGTAGTTAGTTGCTCGCATCATCACCAGGACATCCGCCATTCACCACATCACTCCAATTCTTCAACAATCACTCTGGCTCCCCATAAAACAACATATCAACTTCTAAATTCTCCTCACCACATTCAAAGCTCTCTGTACTCCACACCTGTCTGACCTTCTCCACATCATCACACCCTCTCTTACCCTCCTCTCTGTCCAGCTCTCTATCCCCTCTTTCCGGCTCGTCACCATCTCACCAGTCCTTCCAACACCTTCGTCCAGTTCTGTTGTTTTCAGTTTTTATTAATGCTAAAGTTTTTAATTGCACGTTTGGACAGTGTCCTTAGGTGTTTTGAAAGGCGTATGCAAAATCATTCTCACAGATGGGATCTTTACCCATCAGATCAACCTGGAAGTTTTTTCTCAGTTTCTTTCATTTTTTATCAGTTTATTTCAGACAGAACAGAGTTAGAACAAGCTCTTTAAAGTCAACACATTTTGTCACATACGTCCCACATGGAAAGACATACGTGTCACATCAAGAGACATTCATCCATCCATTTTCTTCCGCTTAATCTGTTGCCGGGTCGCGGGAGCAGCCGACTCATGAGACAAGCAGAACATATTGGAGTCATAACACGGGTACACAGAGTCCTACACAAGGCCAGATCTCTTGTATAGCTGTCTATTTCTCATAGGCGCTTTTAAATAAATTGTATTCTTTTTTATTTTGTTGTACAGGAGTTGGATTAAATAGGAGTCATTTCATTCCACATTATTCACATACTTTGGTTAATCTGTGTTGAGTGAGTCCTTGGATGTTGTGGAGCATAAATTTAATGTACTTTTCTCTTGATCCTTGTGTGTGTGTGTGTGTGTGTGTGTGTGTGTTGTGCAGGCAGGGGGCAGACTCCTCTCAGGACGAGATCGGAGCCTCAGCGATCCTGGGAGCTCAGCTGGACGAGGAGCTGGGAGGGGGACCGGTGCAGGTAAAAAGGAGACGTCTCAACGCTGATGGCTTATAAGGTGGAAGGGAGGAAAGACATGTGTTTATATAGCACATTTCATACTGTACAGTGAGCCAAAAACCAGTCACCACAAGACATTGATTGGGTTCTTAATTGGGTTTTAGAGCATATAGAGGCAGATTATTCAATTTACAAGGACCAAAAGTATATACAGTATATGAAAATATAAATCATCCTCAAAACAAGATTACAATAGAACATGAACAAACACACATACAGTAGAATTATCCCATACTTCACAACAAAACATACTAATAATAATGGTTTTATTGAAGTGATTATTGTTTATTTAACTGTATCAATCATCCATCTATTAAACTGGGGGGAGTTTTGTATTTAATAGTTCATTTTACATTATGGCCTTGTTACTAAGGTGTAATAAAAAAGTCTTTGTCCAGGTTTAAATCCTCCACTTTCTGCAGTATCTGTCTTTCCCCACTTTGAGTCATTGCCACACAGGGTCCCAGTATTTCACACAACTCATGGTTACTATCTACAGAAATACAGGCCTAGAATAAACAACATGTCAAATGCTATAGATATCCTATACTTTTTAAGCATAATTTCACATTTAACGACCAATGGAAAATTTAGCAGTTCTCCTGATCAAAGAGAAAAACACCCATCTGAAGTTTCTGATGTCACTGATAGCAACAACAGAAAGTTACGTTTTTAGCTCCACCCACGCTAATATCATCTGCTTGGCCAATCATTCATGCACGCACCAGACTCATACCAGGCAATGTGGGTGAAGTGTTTTGCCTAAAGACAGAACAACAGTTTGGCATTTCCCACTGTGGCACCTGTTGATTGCAGAGGTCTCCCATCACAGTACTATCCAGGCGCTGCCCTGCCTAACTTCTGAGGTCTTACAGGATCAGGCTTGCTCCTGCCGGTGGAGCCAAAGTAAACTTATATATAGCTTGTCGATGTGAATACTATGCAGACACAGTGGTTGTTTACAATATATCGAGATTTTAAATTAAAAAATCCAACCCGTACAACACAAGAACAAAATAACACACACACACACAGACAAGACCCAAAACACTCTCTGACCTGACACCCCTTGCCCACTAGGAGGCATCACTCTCTTTTATGTTTTTAAATCTTTTATAGCTTCCTGATTGGTCGAAATGAATTCAAATTCCTGAGGCTCCTCGTCATTGGTTTAACTCCTCTCCTCCATCAAATCTTACTTGTCCGAGTTATACCAAGGAGAGGGACTATTTCAAATATTATGGTTGAAAGATTCTTACTCTACAAGATCGCACACATCTTTGTAGCTGCGTTTCCATTGAATAATGCGCAAAAACTTTTTCGATACATTTCAAAATTCAAAAAACCTGTAATTCGCAAAAGAGGCCGTTTCCATTAAGACATATTCGAATAAGTATACACTATTTTCGCGCGTTTATTCACTAGTTTCTAGTACGTCAACATGGCAACAGAAGTAAACAACACTTTGATTTACGTGAGATATATTAATGTCTTGACTTCTGCTGCGGCTCTCATCTTCTCTGACCCCGGGAGAAACTGTGGCTGCTTTGACAGCTCCGCGAACGCGCGTGGTCATGTACCGAGCGCGGACCATAGACGCGCGCACAGAACCATAGACACGGGTCTTGCCTGTCTCCCCCGTCTCTCCCCCATGCCTCTCCCCCGTCTCTCCCCCATGCCTCTCCCCCGTCTCTCCCTCATGCCTCTCCCCCGTCTCTCCCCCATGCCTCTCCCCCGTCTCTCCCTCATGCCTCTCCCCCGTCTCTCCCCCATGCCTCTCCCCCGTCTCTCCCTCATGCCTCTCCCCCGTCTCTCCCCCGTCTCTTCCCCGTCTCTCCCCCATGCCTCCCCCCGTCTCTTCCCCGTCTCTCCCCCATGCCTCTCCCACGTATCTCCCAAGTCTCCACACGAAGCGCAGCCAAAACTCACTGAATAAAGCTCAGCTCGGCTTCCTCCGCTATATCGAAATAAGTGTTTCCATTGCCGTTTTGCGAAAAACTTAATTTCGATACGTCCAAAAAACCACCGATTTTAAGCGCATTAACTTTTTATCAAAAAACTGTGGTTTATTCGAAATTTGCGCGTTTCCATTAGACATTTTATGATGCGCAAATTCAAATTTCGAAATTTGATGCTCAATGGAAACGCAGCTTGTGATACCATTGTGGCGGCTGACATCACCTTTAACCTAATTTTGTCCAACCAATGTGTTTATAGCGGTAGCATGACTGGCCCTGATTGGTCAAATGGCTCGAACAGGGGAGTGACAGTATCCCTCCTCCTCCTCACTGTCCTCTGACTTTCCCATGTCCTCACCCCCTCTCCCTCTGCTGCTTCCTTTTCCTTTCCCCTTGTTCACTGCTCTGTGCCGTGTCCCCAGGTTGTCGGTGCTCCCATAACCACGCAGGTACCTCCATGTTCATTCAGTTTGTAGCACTAACATCTGTGCGTTTACCTGCACATACCTACAATTCGATTTGTCCAGTTATAGAAGCACTTTAAGCACATAAAAACTAGTCCCTTTTATCTGACGTACTGCAAAATAATACAGGTGAAACTCTGAAAACTAGGATATCGTTCAGAAGTTAATTGATTTCTGTTATTCAACTTACAATGGGAAACTAATATTTGCGGTTTTTACTGCTGTGAGCCAATTATCAACATTATAACACATATAAGCTGGATATTTCTTACTTTGTCTGTACTGAGTTTGTCATATATTAGTTTCACGTTATAAGTTACAGAAGTACTTTTGATTTTTTTTTGCAATATTCGCATATTCTGAGTTTCACTTGTAGTCAAAGGAACCACCTAGTTCCATTCACACTGCAGAAATACCAAACTAGGGCTAACATTTGCAAGAATAAGACAAGATAATGTGTTTAAACAATTTCAGACTGCTAATTGTGGCTACTAAGATTTGCAGTTTCAATTCCAAATAACCTTGCAGCCAACATATAATTTCGCTATGGTTTTTTTGTTTTTAGGATTAGATTTTGATTCAGATACTTTTTCAGTTAAAATTGTGCTTTTTGTACACAACCAAACTTATTTATCCGTCAACAAAAATCAGCCTTTGCAGTTTTATCAGTTTTTGTTCAGGTAAACGCACAGACGGACTAACAGTTCTCATTTTCACTTCCACCTCGTTCCCCTGTAACTTTTGTGCAAACATCTGTGCAAAACACGTATTTGAAAAGTCCAACGTGAAGCTTGTTTTGTGTTGAATTCATCGCACGTTTAGTTTTGCTGCATATGTGATGACACAGCATGCAGGAGTGTGCATGTGTCCCAAGTCATACCAAGGGTTTTCCAGGGGTGCCCAAACTTTTTAGTAAGAGAGTTGAGTTCATCAGACTTTCAGGGGCAGATGACACAGATTTTACAACAGTTTTGACTGGATTCGGCCTCTACTGGGCTTTAAAATTGGGGTCACAGAGCTTCATTATTGCCACACTGTAAAGAGTGATGAAAAATAAGTCAAAAATCAATCAAATTTGACAACATTTATCTTAATTTGAGCACTTTCTGACTGCCTTAGGGACCTTATGCGGGGTTTAAAAAAAAAAATGGTGGATATCAAAATTGGATGACAATTTTGATCTGAAATAGATTCCGGCAAAAAAAATCCTATATTTTATGAAAATAACGTGTTTTTCATGAATTTAAGTTGTCTATGCTCTAACCTGTGTGTCATAGCGGGTTACGCCCATGCTTTGAAAACCATGGATCTATGCCACAGGACTGCCTTTTCTCTCTTCTCTCAACTGATGCCCAACACAATACTGCACTCTACAGGTGACAATTGCTCACTACACATAAATTGCCGTTTTGAGAGTAAAAATGTGTCTGAGGAGGAAATTGAACCCCAGTATCTGGATTGGCAGTGCATCGACACAACCACTGGACTATCTCAGTACCAATGAAGGGTCACAGTCTACTAGTAATTTCACACTCGCTGTACACGACCGTGTCATCTTGAATATCCGCGAAAAAAGAACGAATACCAAATTGTAAACAACTTACAGCGTTGAAACGTACCCGCTCTGACGTCACCAAGGGCTGTGAAGTTTTTTCGTCTCTAAGGGCGTTGCTATGGGGTTATTTCAATTTGGGGGGATCAGACAAAAAAAACAACAACTGATTTTGAAATCTTTAGTAGTTCTCTTCTAATATAAAATGATGTTAAAACTGTATTTCTAAATAAATCAAACCCGGCATAAGGTCTTTAAAACAAGACAAGCAAAATTATCTTGCTTATGAGAAAATAAAGCAAAATTTCCCTTTTTTCCCTTTTGCAAATCTTATGTTAAAACAGAATGTACTCAAGTTAAGAAAAAAAACACTCAATTCAAGCAATTATTACCTCATATTTGATCATTTTTTGCAGTGCACGTATAGAATTTTGCGACACAGTCAAAAACAAATGTCAGAATATACAACCCACCCATGGACAGCCCTACTGCTTCCTGATTGGATAAAATTACTTAAAATCCTTGAGGCCCCTCCTTAAACTGCTCTCCTCCAGAAAATCTTACTGGTCATAGTTATTCCAAGGGTGGGGACTATTTTAGATACATTATTGTTGAAAAATAATTACTGCACATGATAGTATAGTGTCTCATGGTTAACAATTGGATTCCAGAGGGTTGGAGCTTGGAGCTGAGGTTGGCTGGATGACGCTGCCTCAATAGCTTGTGTTAGTTTTGCAGAGGGCCGCATCAAATGTTGGTTTGGACACGCCTTAGTTCTACCATCAGTCATCCTTCTCAGAGAGGGAGAAGCTGTCACAAATATCTTATCTTAAATGCAGAACAAATATAGAACTCAGAGGCAAGACGTCAAAAAGTACAACGATTTAATTAACAAAACTTAAATCATGGGGCGACAGCAGCTCAGTTGGTTGATAATTAAGTCTTTGAACCTAATTATTGCGGTTTTGATCCTTCCACGACTCACCTTCTCCCACTGAAGTCTGCTGTTGTCGTGAACCTGAGCAAGACATGGGGAAATGAATGAATGAACTCATTAATAACAAAATCCAGGATATTGCAGAAATCAAAACGGAAGAAAAAACACATTGGACCGACAGCAAAGGAAGCACAGGGTTTAACGACACACAGACTCATGAGGGTGGGACAGACATGAAGTCAAACTAATAAGAACAAGGATGTCAAAATAAAACCCACTATCACAGTAGCTCAGCGTTCATGTTGCTCTATAAAAAAAGCTGCAGTTATTATTACACACAAATACATCCCAATATTAACAGCTCTAGTGTAACAGGAAGTATGTCTTAAATAGTTCACATAATCACTAACATCTAGGGGTTCATTTAAGTAGTTAACCTTCAATAATTAGTAGTAAAAGTTGTGTAATCGTTTTTGTTGTATGCACAGAACAAAGTAACAGACAGCTGTGAGGTAAAAGCAAATGTATGGTGTTTAAAAATCATAATTATGGCTTGTAACTTAGCCTTGAGTCGCAATGTTGACAGCCTTTGTTCAGTCCCATAGTAAAGAGCTGCCCTCTAGTGTTTACTTTTGCTACTGCATCTGATGATTTTTATTTTAAAACCAGACAAATACATGATTGCATTTTGCTTTTTTGTGTGGATTGAAATGCTTCCTTCACTTCTCTACCATTCATGTGTGTATGTGTGGTGTGTGTGTGCGCGTGCGTATGTGCATGTGTGTCTGTATGTCTGTGTATGTGTGTGTGTATGTCTGCATCTGTGTGTGTGTGTCTATTTGTGTTTGTGTTTGCGTGGGCATAGGTGCGTGTGGTGCAGGGCAAAGAGCCGGCCCACCTCATGAGTCTGTTTGGGGGGGCTCCCATGGTGGTGCACCGCGGCGGGACGTCCCGAGACGGAGGACAGAGCGCTCCGGCTGAAACCAGACTGTTCCAGGTCCGGGCCAACTCCGCTGGACACACACGCGCCGTCGAGGTGAGCGCACATTCATGAAGAGATGTTATACTTAAATCTGGCTTCTTTATTATTCTAAAGTCAGAGCAAAAAGGAACAAGAACAATTCTTGTTCCTTTATTATGTTAAAATTATCTTAATCCTAACTGAAAAAGAACCGCAACAAGAGTAAAAAGGAAATTATTTAGGTCAACTTAAAAAATAATTGACATGAATAATACAGTCCATATAAAGCTTAAATATGGTTAAGAATAGAAAAGGTAAAATAAGTGGAAATTCATGATAATATATTGTTTTAACTGTAGCTTTGTTGATCTGATGACTAAAATAAAACAATCAATCCATCAATTTGGAGCCATTAGGATCAAACTTTCGGGTTTGGGTTTTTATATAGAGAGACAGATGTAAGAAAAGCTTATTTTTTCAAAGCAAAATTGTCTTTCCGCTTAAAGCTGGGGTACCTATCTTTCATAATGTCAGTTAGTTACCCCAGTCAGGCCATACTGTCTTTATCTCATTAGAAAACATGTTGTGTACTTGTAAGAAAGAGCTGTGGGAGTCAATATTTGAAGCTTTAGGATGACACCTGATTGGATGAGAGCTGATTGGCTGAGAGAAGGTGGTCCTCTTTCCGTTTCACTTTTCTGTCTGAAAAAGTTGAGCCAAAGATGTGACAGAGGCCGAAAAACTAGAAAAAACTATTGAAAGAAGAAAGCAGTTTCAGAGCAGAGAACGTGTGACATGAAATGTATCATGTGCATTCATCATTTTAAAGTTACATACCCCAGCTTTAAAAAAAAAAAAAAAAAACATTTACAATATACCATGTACAGTAGCTATCAAACTATCCATCCATCCATCCATTTTCTTCCGCTTCATCCGTTGCCGGGTCCGTTGCCAATCAAACTAAACAGGTTTATTTTAGTTTGATTTGGTTTGTTAATATATGGAACATAGACTGTAGAAGGAGTGAGCATAGCTGATGTTTGCCAAACCGGAAGTAACCAGAAAACTCAGCCAGACACAGGGAGAACATGCAAACTCACACAATGATACATTTTTGTGCAGGTTGATTCCACTTCCTCGAACCTGAACTCCAACGACGCTTTTGTTTTGGCGAGTCCCGGCGGCTGCTTCCTGTGGGTGGGTCAGGGCGCCTGTGCCACCGAGCAGCAGGGGGCGCTGCAGCTGTGCGACATCCTGGGAGTGAGCGCCACAGAGCTGTCGGAGGGCGGAGAGAGCGGTGAGTGTGGAGACTATGTAGATGAAGCCCAAGAGTGCTCATGGACAAAGTTTTGCTCCGACTTGCTCTGGCTCCTTTGATTTACATTGAAAAGTAAGCTCCTCTTGCTCTTGGCTCTTGTGATATTGCCTTTGAAAATCTAGATATGAGTCATAAGGATTGACCAATCAAATGCCTTCATTCGCGGGAGAAACTCAGGCTTTGTCTTAGCAACCGTCTTAGCAACACACAAGTATAAATGTCCATTTAAGGAAATAGGCTGCAACTAGCTAAAGTTGAAATTGGCCCATAATTGTATTATATGAATTATATTGTATAAATCTGGATAGTGTAAAACTAGCTTAAGCCGGTCTCCATCATGGTGCTGGGCCACTAAATTCACGGGGGCTGTTCAGGAAGTTTCCTCTTGATGCTAACAAACATGGCTCGTCCTCCACTCTCTTAGAACCTCTCAAGGGTTCAGTGGAGATTTTAGTGTCTCTTGTCATCCTGGTTTTCCTTAAAACTCCAGTTTTTCTAAAAATCCACACTTTGGTGCAACAAACTTGGCTCACTGTTGGCTCACACGCAATGGTCTGCGTGTGTGCAGGTTGGTTGTTGTTGTCTCCTTAACAGTCTTTTGCTAAAGGTTAACGAAGGAAACCCCCCAGGTTCCTCTGCTGAAGGGACAGTCTCCTGTTGAGTCTCACTTCAAAAGATAAATGATAATAATAATTATAATAATTGGTTTTATAAAGCGCTTTTCAGGACACTCAAAGACGCTTCACATGTCATTATTCATTCACCCCATACACGGTGCTGATAAACTACTATTGTAGCCACAGCTGCCCTGGGGCACACTGACAGAAGCAAGGCGACTAGTATGTGCCATCTGCCTCTCTGACCCAACCAGTCACACACACACCAGACTCATTCTAGGCAATGTGGGTGCAGTGTCTTGCCTAAATACACAACGCCAGTTTGGAAGCCGCAGCCGCCCCACTGTGGTGCCTGGTGTTCTCAGAGGTCTCCCATCACAGTACCAACCAGGCCTTGCCCTACTTAGCTTCAGAGGTCTAGCAGGATCTGGCTTTAAAGTTGGATTTCACTCATAACATACATAACTCGGCAAATGGTTTTTAACACAAATCTTTCAACACTTTGTTCTGATAAAAGCAAATAAACACACAGATCTGAGTCTGATTCTCACCTGGACTCTTCTTCTTCTTCTTCTTTGTGTCTTGTACCGTACGTTTTTCTCCAGTGCCGTGTGCAAAGAGGCTCGGACAAACCTGCGACACGTCCACAAAGTCCAGTACAAAGCAGCGGTCTGAAGTTCATTCATTTTCCAGCTCCTTGCATCAGGCTCTCAGTGTTTCTCTGTCATCTCAGCCCCTCCGGCCAAAACACCAAACACAATCCATATTTCACACTCAAAAAACACAGAGCAGGAATCACGCCGTGGTTAAAGGGAGCACGAAGCCAGAGCAAAAAGCCAGCCCTGTGATTCCTCCAGTTTCTTCTCCATAATTCAGGCTCTTCGCTCATCACTTCTGGAGTTTGTTTTGAAGAAGAAAGTGGCGTGTGCCGCTTTGTTAGACCCAGGTTTCACCATCTACATGCACTATTCACGCAGGTCGGCTCTAAACTTTCTGTAACGGGCGAGAGAACGAAGAGAAGGCGGTTTAGGAGCGGCTGTGAAGTCCAAAACACGGCTGAGAGCGTGAGGCCTCAGACCCACAGCAGGGGGCCCCGGGGGTCTCCACACCACGAGGCGAGATTAGAAATAACAGTTCACATCGTTGGAAAGAGGTGAAGAGACTCGAGGAAAGATCTAAGCAGCAGAAGTTTAGAAGTGGATTTTTTTTTTTTTTTATTTTTTTTTTATCGTCCATAAACACATTTCCACTGAAAGAGCTCAAATCATAACAATGCAATGGAATCATTCTACTACATCAAGATAAAACAGACAATATTTATACCTTTTTCCCATTTCAGGTCTGTAAAAAGATGTCTTGTTTTAACAGTACCAGTTCACAAATGTTTAAATACTTTCGCACAAGAAGTGACGGTCAAACTGGAAATACTAAAAAATCAAAACAAAACCTAAAAACAGTAGCAGAACTCACTGACATTTTGTTGATTTGAGGAGATTTTGTCAATTTAACCGGAATCTTTAGCCTCATACAGTTGGGTCGGCACTGGATCATTTACGGAATCGGGACGGAAGCAGAAGTAACAATCCTACTTTTAAAATTAGTTTTAGACTAATAAGTCCTTAAATGGTGACTGGTTAAGTTTTAGGTGTCTGAGTAAGATGGTTAAGGTTAGGGTTAAAGTGATAGTATGCAACTCTAAATGAGTTACATTTTTTAAGAATTGTGTTAAATTGACCTACTGGCCTTAAAAGTTGACATAAAATAAGTCATTTTATAATTTCCAATATTACGGGCAAGTCCCGCCTTCCCTTTTCTTAGTTCAGAATCCACGGTGCCGTCGAGGTTAACCAATCGAGTCATGCCAAGGGCTGTCAATCATTGGGGCTGATGCTCGCAGCTCCGCGCATGCTCAGTTGTTTGTTTTTGCGGAGCCTCCGAATCAAGCCTCCACTAAGCTCTGGAACTACATGAAAACTGAACAAAGAATTCTGAATATCTGCGCTGATGTACTCATTTATATACTGAACCTATATCTATAATCATTTATCTACTGAACCTATATCCATAATCAGATCCTCTGCAGATGTGTCCTATAATATGAGAATAGCTTCTTCCTGGTTTGCCGCGATTGTTTTTTGTGTGCATAAAAACATTATTTTTTTCATTAAAACGTTAACAAATAATTCTGAAAACCTCCGTGCATGTGTGTTTATAATGTATATGTATAATGTGTTCTGTCATTAACATTTAAATGTGTTACGGAAACGTAGGTGTAGACCAATCAGAAAGGAAGGGGGAGGAGCTTGCGTCGTTTTTTTTCAAATCAAGTACCCCTCTGTCTCTCTTTCTGACAAACTCCAGACAATCACTTTAAGGTGGAGTTGGGGTTATTTTATGGGAATGGCTGGTTAAGTTTAGGCATGAATAGGTAGGTTTATATTTACTTCCGCTTCCGTCCCAATTCCGTATATGAAAATGAAAACCAAATGACAACAAAACCATTACAATCTATGACCTAAAAACAATAGCAGAAATCACTGACATTTTGTTGATTTGAGTAGATTTTGTCAATTTAACCTGAATCTTTAGCCTCATACAGTAGTACTACATATGTTTCAATTCTATTTTGAAACGTTTGTAAATTCACTTGTGTTTCTGTATAAAACACAAAACTGTACCCTGCTCCCAGATACACAACAAACCAGTGTCTGGGAAGTACTGTGGAAACTATGTCCTCCAACATCCCTCTGACCAATCTTTGTCAGAACACTTTAGGACCAGCTCGGCCTGGATAGAACCAGGACCAACAGGTCTATATCAAAGTAAAGTAGAGCTGAGTAGGGCTGCGTAGGGCTGGTGGAAACAAGGTGTAAATGCAGCCTATAAAACACTTAAAACAATTAAAATCAAGTGAAATAATTTTAACACAGAAAAATAAATAAAGTTAGTTAGTGTGTTCCATGTTCCCGATTATGTAAATGATGCAGATTTTGTTCCATTTTGAATTTTTTCAAGATAATTATCTTTAAAATGATGTATAACACGCCATGGTCGTCCACACACACCTCGTTCTATCAGTGTCTGAAAGTTCATATTGATACTTTGAAATCATGGGAAGTGTCCCCTGCAGTACCACCGCGTACCCACAAAGGGCCGTGAACCCACAGAGGGCCGTGAACCCCCTGTTGGGAAACCGTGTCTTACGTGTGGCTCTCTTCACAGATGACTTCTGGGAAATCCTGGGAGGGAAGTCTGAGTACCGCACGTCCACTCGCCTCAAGGACAAGATGGACGCACACCCACCGAGACTGTTCGCCTGCTCCAACAAGACCGGCAACTTCATCGTACGCAACGAACACACACGCACGCACGCACACCCACACACACACAGTAACACACAATTACACACACTTATATTCAGATGCAACCTTTATGTCAACAAACGGTAGACATTTTGTGACATGGTTGAAATTTTATTGACAACAGAAACTCCTGGCAGGAGCACTGGTGTGTACTAAGATAATACTGGTGTGTACTATCTTCTCTGGTGTGTGTATTCTCGTCTCTGGTGTGTACTCTCTTCTCTGGTGTGTGTACTCTCTTCTCCGGTGTGTACTCTCTTCTCCGGTGTGTACTATCTTCTCTGGTGTGTACTATCGTCTGGTGCACACTGGGGTAGTCTTGCACAGTTTTTCCAATGTGGTTTTACTGCAAATTACAAATAAATTCTTGAATCTTGAATTTTTTCGGGCCCCAATTAGCATTAGATGAGGGGTCAAAAACCTAAATATTTCACACACATACACACACACTTCACATGTGTAATCTTGTGTGTGTGTGTCTCAGATTGAGGAGGTTCCCGGGGAGATGACGCAGGACGACTTGGCCACAGACGACGTGATGATCCTGGACACATGGGAGCAGGTAACACCAACACCTCCTGCTTTTCTTTACCACCTCTGCATCCAGCTGATCAACAACAACATCAGACTACTGGAAATGTGAACGATTTAAATTAAGATGTGTCTGTCTTATCAAACTTTCTGCGATGAATCTGGACCAGTCTGAACTCACAGATAAAATAGTCAGAAAACAAAAGTAAAATTATATGTATTCTGCCTGGACTTTTCTTTTATTACAGCCTCCTAAAACTAAATGTATTTTATCTTGACTCTTTTTATTGCACTGTGGCTATTTACAGTATGATTTTAATCGCATGTGTGATCATAATGTTTGTTTTTAATTGTATTTTTGTATATTCATGTAGATTTGAATGTGTTTTGTGTTGCCTTGTGTAGAAAAGGCGCTCTACAAATTAAAGTTCAATGATTGATGTTCCTCGGCAGAGAAAAGGGAATTGTTCAAACTTTAATAAACAAATATTTGTTAGTCGTTTACTTAACTGCAATTTAAAGTATTCATCTTTAATCCGCTGATGAATCCAAACCTGTGTTTCAGGTGTTCGTGTGGATCGGAAACGAAGCCCAAGAGGAAGAGAAGACCGAGGCCATGGCGTCAGGTGAGACCGCGACAGAGACTGAAAAGTGGAAATGATGGAAACTAGTCACAAATTTCTCATCTCTAGATTTAGTTTTGGTTTTTCCATAGAAGTTGAAAGCAGTAAATACAGTATATATTCTCATATTCCCTCATTGTATAATCTGTGAGATGTGGATTATTCCCTCGCTCCTGCAGTCAGTTTTTCTCTGGGGTTTTCTGGAGTAGGAAAGTCAAAGTTCATCCACGAACATAAAGTCACGGATCACAGATGTTTCTGGACAAAAATCCCCAAAACAGATGTAGTTTTCCACTTCAAGTCATTCATAAGCTATGTACCTTTAATACCTGCTCTTACCTACAGCAGGGATACCAAAGAACACCTGCTGCTGGGTTGCTATGGTAACTAACACTTACTCGTCTCTGGAGGAAAACCAGGATGACTCAGAACCAGGACCAGCGCCGGAAAGGGGCTGTAACTGTTTTGGGAATCACTGCTCTGGGAGTTAAAGGCAGAACTCACAAATGATTTCATAAAAAATAATGACATAGAAATAAATGATACATTCGCTTCTCAGCATGAAGGTCCTGGGTTCGAATCCCGGTCAGAACAGGGCCTTTCTGAGTCGAGTTTGCACGTTTTCCCCGTGTCTGCGTATAATTGCTCCGGGTACTCTGGTTTCCCCTAACACTAAAAACATGTACAATAGTTCAGGGTGAATGAGTGTGTGTTTGTGAGTGCGAATGTGGGACAACGGATGGAAGGCCAAGGCTACAATCCGGAGTGATGTGTTCATTAACAATAAATAAATAAATATAGCAGCAAAGAAGAGCAGATATGGACAGGAGCTGAGGATTAAAAACTGTGAATTTGACTTCTCTGGGAGGTCTTGTGTTAAAAGTTAAAAGTGAAGTGATCCGTGATGGGGTCTGAAACTACAGTCTGTGCAGCTCGACTGAAGTGAACAGGTTTCCTCATGTCCTTGTGTCCCTCAGCTCTGCGCTACATCGAGACCGACCCGGCGAGCAGAGACCCACGCACGCCTCTGGTCAAGATCAAGCAGGGATTCGAACCCCCAACCTTCAGCGGCTGGTTCCTGGGCTGGGACCACGAATACTGGACCAGTGACCCACTGGAGCGCGCCATGGCTGAGCTGGCCCTTTAAGACACATGCACACACACGTACACACACTGCCCTGCTCTGTGCTGCCCCCTCTTGGCATAAGACTGTACTGCTGCCAATGCATTTTATACTATTCTTTGAAGTTTTATTCCAGTCACTCGCTGCCTTTTTAGACTTGTTTTAAGCGAATGGGAAAAGTTTATTTTGTTAATATTATGCTAAAAAAAACAACATACAATCAACTTCAGACACACTAAAGAAAACTACCAATTCAAACCGGTTTGTACTTTAAATCTATGGTGTTTTTGACTATTTCAATGTTTGTTTAATGGGTGTAGTAAAAATGAAGGGGAAAAAACTGTTTATTGCTGTATTTCAAAACCAGGCAATTTAATATGATGTAGTTCTGTCCCATACAACTATCAAACGTTGCAATATATTTATAAATGAAGTCATGATTTCATCTTTATTTTTGTATGTTCAATCCAGTCTGGTCATTTTCTTGTCTTTTCCTTCCGACCGTTGGAAACTAGTGAATTCTACTTTAATGTATGCAAAAAACAGTAGTTTAACCAAATAACAAAACAACAAAAGCCTTAGAAGCGTTAGCTGTAGTACGTTGTGGTTTCAAGGTACTTTGTGAGTGACACTTGTGTATTTATTTGAATAGTTTACACATAGGGCTAGCTTGTTTCGCTACATGCTAAAAGACACCGCTTTGCTTGGTTGCCATGACACCTCCTCAGGACCCTGTCACTGTACGCCTTGTCAATAAAAAATATTGGGAGAAAATATTGTGTTTGTTTTTTTTTAAGTGAATAATCAAGAATCATCTATATCTATGCTGCAGGTCTCATGATTTCAATTTGCAAAAATAATTTCTATCGGGACAAAGTGAATAACATAGAAAATCCAACGTAGCATCATATGTGTTGCCTTGTTTGTCGAGATCATTATTTATTCTTTAGTCTGAAAGGCTTGTCTACAGGTCAATATCATGCATGTGTTTTAAAACAGTCTCACCACTTCTAGACAACTTCATGACAAAAACATTTAACCATAGTTGATCAGAGATAGAGACCAGTGAGAAAGACTAGAGAGAGACCAGAGAGAGAGAGCCGAGGCCATAGTTGACAGAGATCAGGGAAAGACCAGAGAGAGACCAGAGGCCATTGCTGACACAGAGAGAGGGATCAGTTAGAGACCAGTGAGAGAGACTAGAGAGAGGCCAGCGAGGGAGCAGAGAGAGAGAGCCCAGAGGGAGATCAGAAATAGAGACCAGAGAAAGACCAATGAGAGAGGCTAGAGGGAGACCAGAGAAAGAGCAGAGGCCATAGCTGACAGAGAGAGAGAGACCAGGGAGAGAGACCAAGTTGATAAAAAAACGAAATAGCTGCTTGTACATTTATAACAAATTTATTTAAACCATAACGGTTACAAAGACGTCATGCAGCATTAGACAAAAGCCGTAACAGCAATTTGAATAAATGTAACAAAATAATACGTTTGAACATTTTGAACAATGGTTTAAAACAATTGACCTGAAAATGTAGATATCAGCAATACTTTGAACAGACAGAACAGAAAGCGCATTTGTTTAAACTCTAGGGACGTAATAAGAATCAAAGCTGTAGAATTTAATCATTTATCGATGTGAAAAAGGCGATTCTAATGGACAGAATTATACCCACTTTTAACAAGACTTTAGTTAAAAGTGGATACGTTTTGTGAATTGATTTCTCAATTATCGTTACGTTCATAGTTACATAGAATTAAAAGCTTATATTTATATTTACGTAAACATTCTTCTGATAATATACAGGGAAGCAGCGACTAGAAAGCGACAGCAGCGTTGGCCCTGGGTATGGAAACTTATGTGGACTGAGGGCGAGTTGACGACTAATATCTATCTCTCTTATACTTGACTTTATCTGTTTGATTTATTTATGAAAAAATACACAACAAGCAGGATTCAAACAAGGGAATCCACCGATCTGTCCATACGAAAAGATTTCCCCCTAAAATTGCTGCAGACTTGCTACAAAATGGATCCAATCGTGTTTTATCACCAGTCTGTCTCCCAACGACCAGCTTAAACTCTACTTCAGGCTGTAAAAACATATGTTACACTGATGGAAAGACCACAAACGACTAAAATAACAGAACAGATCGGTGTGAACTCGCCCTGAATTGACAATATCTACATTTAAAGAGACACTAAACCATGAAACCACATTTTCTTCTGCAGATGAACTCTATACATGGGTCTAAAACAGACACGTGTTAAGACTTATTTTTACTTTAATGTCTAAAAAAAGTGTGTTGCATAAGAGTAGAACAAGGCCCGAGGGTGGAGTGACTCTTTATAGCAATAACAACATTTTTTTCGTACAAATGTTGTTATATTTCCAAAGTCCCTGGGTTAAAACAGACAAAGCACACAGATATTTGGTTTGTGGTTAGTTCGAGATGTGACTGCATAGAAGTCCAAGTGGTAATAGTGCGTTAAGGCTTCAGGCTACAAAAAAAACTCCCTTTTCCAGATAAAGACAAGTCCTTTTTGTAGATTTGTGATCTAAATGTGTCTAAGTTAAAGATGACGGAGCTGTGGTCTAGTGAATATCTCCTTTAAACATGCGCCCGCAGCCAGTAGCACCTCCAAATACGATGTACTGTTTCATTTGCTGATTTGAAACTTAAAGTAGTGGACTGGGTTAGGGTCCGTGGTTTTGACCCTTGGCTACGTTCACATTACAATTATTACTAATACCATCTCAGCCGTTACATAAATGTACATAAAACCAGCTTTTTTAAGCTTTCAAAAGCTTGTAACAAATGTATTTTTGTTGGAATAAGTGAATACCTGCTTTATAATAAATCTCATGGCGTAATCTCACAAAAAACATAAATAAACTTTTGTAAATGTTATATCTCATTTAGTCTATCAAAACAATTCAAATAAATGAGACACAATGACACAGAACCATCGTTACCAGTTTTTACATTTCGAGTTCAAAACAGCCCGACAGCTAATGCTAATTTTATGCTAACGCAAACTTGGCACTGACACTAACTAGATGTTGATTCTAAAGATAACTAGAAGCTAGCAGTAACTAGAAGCTAGCAGTAACTAGATGCTAGCGGTACCTAAATGCTAGCAATAACTAGATGCTAGCTGTAACTAGATGCTAGCGGTAACTAGATGCTAGCGGTAACTAGATGCTAATACTACCTCAAAACTAGTGCCAACGGGACACTAGTGCTAACTCGACACTAATGTTAATTCAATGCTAGCACTTACTCAATTCTAACAACAACCCGATGCGAATAGTTGGTGAAATGGTGCATTAGAAAGAACATAAGGCCACAGTCACAGGTGCTTTTCCTGTGGGAGATTAAAAAACTTTCAGTAAAAGCAAAACTCTAACAAGAATGTGATTCAAAAACAGCTTCAGCACCAGGACGGCAGGATGAGCTGTGATTGGCCGAGTGAGACATCTATGTAAACAGATAATAATCCTTCAGATTGACAGGGCACAAGTGACATTTGAGAAAAAAACATTACATAATGTTACATAATGTGAAAGGAGTTTTGGTTTTTGTCGCTAAAGGTTTAGTTCAGGTTTTTCACAGTTATGTTTCTCAAATGTCACCTGAGCCTTTTCTCTCTTCTTCATGGTTCTTGTTTGGGTCAATGTGACATTGGCTCCCTGAAGTCAGAGTGTGGTGGTTTGGAGGTGGGACTGGCTGGTCTTAACCCTGACCCTGGTCCTGACTCTAGCCTGGTCCTGGTCCTGGCACGGTCCCCATTACTTCATAAAGGCCTGCATCATCTCGATGGGCAGGGGGAAGATGATGGTGGAGTTCTTCTCGGCTGCGATGGTGTTGAGGGTCTGCAGGTACCGCAGCTGAAGCGCAGACGGAGACTCGGCGATGACCAGCGACGCCTCCTTCAGGGCGCGGGACGCATTCATCTCCCCCTCTGCCGCGATCACCTGCGGGAACAGCCAGAGTCAGAGCCACAGAGGAAGTAAACAAGGTCTTAAAGGAATAGTTCACCGTTTTTACATACTGACATATGTAGCTCGCGAAAATTCAATTTGGTAGACGTCAGCCAAAAGCTACCCCCTCCAGGCCGGTTCGCTTCCCCAGCCTATCGCTCAGCAAACGCCCCCTTCCAATCATCCGTGCCGGACAGGCAGCCGCTTAAAAGCGGAGCAACTCCCACTCTCGGCCTTCTCGAAGCCTCGCAACCACCGCCTCCCCTCCTCCTCCTCTTCACCCTGCCTCCGATCTGCCTCCAATCTGCCTCCAATCTGCCTCCAATCTGCCTCCAATCTGCCAAAATGCCGCCACCAGTGCCTAGGTCCCGGGGGATTGTACGCGCTCCATCGCAGGAGCCTCTCCGATCTGAAGGCCGCACCGGGGCCTAGGGCGCCAAACCACCTCAATAAATACTCATAACCATTTTCGTTTCTCGTCTCTCCAAATTGAAATGTTCTTACCTTACCTTAGACTAGTTAATACATACCTGTCTGGTCTTAGTCCGTGCGCTCTGTCATGCAAACGGAGCAAAAACGGGAGCACAACCGCAGCCTCCTCTGTATATTTTGTAGCACCAAAAGGTAGCTCCCGCTAGAAGCTACCAAACTCTTCCAAGTGTTCCCTATTAAATGTATATAGTTACGTGACGTGTTACACTGCAAAGTGTGTTCTGCAAACACAGAATTGTAACAGTCGATTTTCTCAGCGGATAAAACGGGTACTATATTGTGAGGCGTAGTAATCTGAGGTGCGCTACGTCCGCGCACTAACTTCTCTCCGGAGACTTCTCTCTCGCTCACTTCCGTCAATAGAAGCAGCGTGACTTGTAATACACACAGTAGCAGCGAGAGAGAAGTCTCCGGAGAGAAGTTAGTGCGCGGACGTAGCGCGTCGGGGTCCGCTTCGCCCTGTCGGTACTTATTTTCCGATAATGACCTGTAGGCTATACATTATCCCTTACTTAACCCAGGGAGGTCCAAACCTCTGAGATTTAGTGAAAACAGTTTTCTGATGTTGTGGGCCCTTGAAGCATTTTCACAATCTAATAGATACACAGATAAATACTTTATTTATTCCGTAGGAGAAATTCAGGTGTCCAGTAGCAAACTAAAAGCAGCAAACAATAGTAATAAGGTCACAGCAATAATGTGGCCCTCTTTCAAAAAGTTTGGACACACCTACTTTATCCTGAATATTGTATTATCTAAGAAACATTCCCTTACATTTCACGAATGCATAAAAATGTATAAAACAAGAATTCTAAGCAGACATTTTTTTCTGAGAGACTAAAACAGGAGAAATGTATCCAGTCTATTGTGTGTATGCGTGTGTGTGTGTGTGTGTGGAGCACCTTGGCGCGGGCCTCTCTGGTGGCCTCGGCCTCAGCGGCCATGGCTCTCTGCAGCTGGAGGGGCAGCTTCACGTCTTTGATCTCCACTCGCTCCACCTTTATGCCCCAGTCGTCTGTGGCGTCGTCCAGGGTCGACTAAAGAACAGAGACACACACACGACTGAAGACCAACACACAAAACTTCTCTGCATTTCATCGCACGGAAGGAGGACATTTTGTAGAAGCGGAAAAATGAAGAACAACATGAAGTGGATCCGCTCGGTGTTTATGTGGAGTGATGACCATGGGAGCGTGTCTCTGCAGACACTGAGCAGTTCAGACGATCGACCGCTGGAAGAAAACATGTGTCTGAGAGAGGTTTCCAACCCGAGGGAGATAAGAGCCTCTAATGCTCTGTCACACAATCACTGCACGAGTCCCTTAAACCTGTTTCAGCCTCTGCCACAGTGAGACGTAGCATATTTGACCGTGTTTTTAATAGTAATAATAATGCATTGGTTTTATATAACATAATAATAATTTTTTGGACGCTCAAAGACGCTTTGATGTCATTATTCATTCACTCCATACACGATGGTAATAAACTACTACTGTAGCCACAGCTGCCCTGGGGCAGACTGACATAAGCGAGGCAGGTATGTGCCATCAGCCCCTCTGACCACCACCAGCCCTTCACAGACACCAGACTCATTCTAGACAATGTTGGTGAAGTGTCTTGCTTATGGACCGTCTGTGGATCCCAGTGAAAATGATAGGATTGTGTGTGGAACTGCTTCGACAATAGAAAGAATGGACTGACCCCAGCGTTTGCCTTTTTGTGTAAGAAGCCAAAAATCTTCTTTCAACAGAAACATGAAGCCAAATGAAGTACAGTAAGTAGCAACGACGTGGTAACCAACCCAAGAGCCAACCAGGAGCAGTACATTTTACTACCGTACCCCGCTCCCATCTCTGTGTGGAGTGAGAGGACAAATGCCCAAAAATAACAATTGTAAACCGCTTTGTGACTCTGGTCTGTGAAAGGCGGTATATAAATAAAGATTACTTACTTACTTACAATGTTGATGGTTTTACACTGATCCAGAGCAGAGCAGAGAGGATTCAGTATACGAACCAAGCAGATCAAGCAAAAATTCACTGGAAGAAAGCATTTTTTTTTTTAAGGCTAATAAAGCATTCAGCATGTCAATCTGGACCAGAGCAGTGAAAATGGTCCGAACCAAGCAGCTTCTCCATCTCTGCTGCTGTGTTTCTCTGTGTCTATATGTACCTGTGTCTCTCTGTGTCTATATGTACCTGTGTCTCTCTGTGTCTATATGTACCTGTGTTTCTCTGTGTCTATATGTACCTGTGTTTCTCTGTGTCTATATGTACCTGTGTTTCTCTGTGTCTATATGTACCTGTGTTTCTCTGTGTCTATATGTACCTGTGTTTCTCTGTGTCTATATGTACCTGTGTCTCTCTGTGTCTATATGTACCTGTGCTTCTCTGTGTCTATATGTACCTGTGTCTATATGTACCTGTGTTTCTCTGTGTCTATATGTACCTGTGCTTCTCTATGTCTATATGTACCTGTGTTTCTCTGTGTCTATATGTACCTGTGTTTCTCTGTGTCTATATGTACCTGTGTTTCTCTGTGTCTATATGTACCTGTGTCTCTCTGTGTCTATATGTACCTGTGTCTCTCTGTGTCTATATGTACCTGTGTTTCTCTGTGTCTATATGTACCTGTGCTTCTCTGTGTCTATATGTACCTGTGTTTCTCTGTGTCTATATGTACCTGTGTTTCTCTGTGTCTATATGTACCTGTGTCTCTCTGTGTCTATATGTACCTGTGTCTCTCTGTGTCTATATGTACCTGTGTTTCTCTGTGTCTATATGTACCTGTGCTTCTCTGTGTCTATATGTACCTGTGTTTCTCTGTGTCTATATGTACCTGTGCTTCTCTGTGTCTATATGTACCTGTGTTTCTCTGTGTCTATATGTACCTGTGCTTCTCTGTGTCTATATGTACCTGTGTCTCTCTGTGTCTATATGTACCTGTGTTTCTCTGTGTCTATATGTACCTGTGTCTCTCTGTGTCTATATGTACCTGTGCTTCTCTGTGTCTATATGTACCTGTGTTTCTCTGTGTCTATATGTACCTGTGTTTCTCTGTGTCTATATGTACCTGTGTCTCTCTGTGTCTATATGTACCTGTGCTTCTCTGTGTCTATATGTACCTGTGTCTCTCTGTGTCTATATGTACCTGTGTCTCTCTGTGTCTATATGTACCTATGTCTCTCTGTGTCTATATGTACCTGTGTTTCTCTGTGTCTATATGTACCTGTGTCTCTCTGTGTCTATATGTACCTGTGCTTCTCTGTGTCTATATGTACCTGTGTCTCTCTGTGTCTATATGTACCTGTGTCTCTCTGTGTCTATATGTACCTATGTCTCTCTGTGTCTATATGTACCTGTGTTTCTCTGTGTCTATATGCATGGGCGTCAGACTGGGGGGGTAAAGGGTACCGAGTACCCAGGGCCCAAGGCGGGGAGGGGCCCTCTAAAGTGTGTCTTTATATTTATATGTATTAGGCATTGTGGTATATTCATATTATTACAATTTGAATGAAAGAGGCCCTGTATAAAAATAACCAACGTTTTAACCTCAGTTTTCCTCTAAAAACAAATTTGTATGCTATATCAGGGCCCTGCCACCCCCTTACAAAAGATCAAATGGTACGACCCACATGTGCGCTTGTTGCTGTGTTGCTGCCGCTGCAGCGAGTTGACTTGTTTGACAAGCAGCGGCAGAAGCGGGAAAAATAGAAATGTCTTTTCCAAAGAAAGGAAAATCAGGATTTCAGAAAAGAAAAGAAAGACAGGACAGGGAGTAATGAGGGCAAGCAATTGCTTACTCAGTTCTTCCACACGAGAGGTGAGTATATAGAGACGTGTTAAGGCCACATCAGGAGAAAACCCAGAGACATTTGTTTCTGTATTCTAAACTCACGGAGAGCTAACAGTGTGCCGTGTACGTGGTAAAAAAAAAAAGTTATCCAGAGTGACACACACAGACGCGCAGCTGTAAAGGGAGCTCACACACACTGCTGTCCACTTCTCCTTCAAAGGCAGGCAGCAAAGAGTTATTTTCATGTACAACCCTGTACCCTATATTCCCACTATTGTCATAATCTGTCCGTCCGTGAGTCTTGCAGTCATAAGTCACGGGTCACTCACTGGCCTCTGCATTGGATCATCTGGTTATAAGCATACAAATCACACGCCCCCCGCACCGGTTTGGAGTTTTCTGGTGACATCTAGTGGTCAAAATAATGTAAATAAGTCTAATGGTCTAAAGGTTTCTAGCTCTACAATTATCTTAGTGTGTAAACAAGGGTGAAATGAGACTTTCTGGTGTGTAAACTATTGCTTTTTTAACTGACAATCACAGCCCAGACCATGCCCAACTGTAAGCCCCCCTTCTTCTCACTGGTGCCATTTTTACAGAAAAATTTCAAATGTTCATGTGGGCGGAGTAAGGCTAGGCACAGGTGTTTAGTTGAAAATGGAATAGGCTTATTTCAAAAAAGATTGCATCGATTGAATTTTGCCACAAAGTCTAAATTGGTGGATAATAATGAACCATAAAAAGTATTTTGTTGTATGTTTGTACAATAACAAATAAGTAACTTACCTACTCATGGTCCATACAAATAAGATAAGATATACTGTATATTTTATATGAATAGCCATATACACATATCATATAAAGGCATGCAGGCATATACGTAATAGCTATACACTGTAATGATGGAATATAGTATCTGTTTGCAACCCATTAAAGCTACTTTATTTCAGTTTCAGGAAGAGAAGCGTCATGGCCAGATGAAGGCACTAGTAGTGAGGGTTTGACAGTGAGGCATGGTGAGCATTTATCAGTCACTGATTGAACTGTTTTCAATAAGTTAGTAATTTATTACTTTATAAGTTTTACTGTATACACCAATTCTATATCATTTTTGTCTGTATTGTGTCCATGTAGCAGAGGCAGAGGCAGAATTAGAAGAGGATGTAGAAACTGAATTAAGTGATGAAAGGGAAAGCGAAAGTGATGAGAATGTGGAGAGGATTGAGGAGGAAAGAGACGACACCAAGAGACAGAGTAATAATGATGAGGGATTGTCAGAGGACCCAGGATTTTTGGGGGAAATTTGTATTGGCTTGAGAATCTTTTGTACACTTCCAGTGACTGTTGCAGGAGGGGAACGTTCTTTCAGTAAGCTTAAACTTGTAAAGAACTATTTAAGATCCACAATGTCCCAAGAGAGACTGAACAGCCTTGCAATACTCTCCATAGAAAGTCAGTTGGCCAAAAACCTGGACTTTAAAGACCTGATCAGAAACTTTGCAAATGCAAAGACCCGTCAGTGGGCTTTTGATAAACATTGACCATACATTTATCTTTGTACTACATTGATGGTTCTCAAACAGTGTAGTTCTAGTTTTTGTTAAATGTTTACCTTTTTTTGGGCTTGTCCCTGTTAATAAATAAAAATGGACATGGTACTACTGTTATCAACCTGGTGAAGCCGTTGTTTGAAAATAAAGCAATGTTTATTGTATATACAGGCTACTCAATTAATTTTTTACATGAGGGTAATAAAAAATATTGTAAACAATATTGATGACAATAAAACCAAAGGACATGAATCAGAATTTTATTAACTAATTCAATTATATATATATATATATATATATATATTAGTGCTGTCCAAAATATCGCGTTATTAACGCGTTAACGCAAATCAATATTAACGGCGTCATTTTTTTTATCGCGCAATAAAAAAAAAAAAATCCCCATCTCCCACTTCATGTGGGAGATGGGGTTAATAAAAAAGGCAATACAAGCAAACAGTATACAGTCATAGATATACCGAAAGTAAACAGAGAAACAGCATAGAGTATTTACATGAACAAATTTACTAAATATTTACAGATTGTTTATCATCATCATAATGACACCATGATGTTTCTATACAGTCTATGGTCTATACCCACACATACACACACACACCCATAAACACACACACTCCACACACACACACACATACACCCCACAGATAAGATAAGATATAAAGTCTGCCCGCCTGAGTTTCACCAAGCTACAGTAAGCGGAACCCAGCCAACATCAAAACCAAATCCGACACACACACAGACCCCCAAGCAGGCCCCCACCCCAAAAAGGGGGCGAGGGAGCCCACGCCCGGCCCATTCCCACTCTTATTTTGTTCCTTTTTTCCAAGTGTTTTTCTTAACTAAACGTGTCATGCATTAAAATAAGATTTCGCTTACCCTGACTTGTGTATTATCATTATATGCACATATTATTCATGTTATTATTATATTTATCTACTTATTCATTCATTTTTTATTTTATTTTATTATTATTATTAATTTTATTTTATTATTTTATTTTATTTTATTAATTCAAGGGACATAAAGAATAGATACAAATGTGTGACTAATTTGCGATTAATCGCGAGTTAACTATGAAATTCATGCGATTAATCGCGATTAAATATTTTAATCGTTGGACAGACATATATATATATATATATATATATATATATATATATATATATATAAGAAACGTGTAGTGGGGGCCCATTGAGACTGTTTGTACCCGGGGCCCAGAATTTGGTGCTACCCCCCTGTCTATATGTACCTGTGTCTCTCTGTGTCTATATGTACCTGTGTCTCTCTGTGTCTATATGTACCTGTGTCTCTCTGTGTCTATATGTACCTATGTCTCTCTGTGTCTGTATGTACCTGTGTCTCTCTGTGTCTATATGTACCTATGTCTCTCTGTGTCTGCATGTACCTATGTCTCTCTGTGTCTGTATGTACCTATGTCTCTCTGTGTCTATATGTACCTATGTCTCTCTGTGTCTGTATGTACCTATGTCTCTCTGTGTCTGTATGTACCTATGCCTCTCTGTGTCTATATGTGCGTATGTCTCTCTGTATGTACCTATGTCTCTCTGTGTCTGTATGTACCTATGTCTCTCTGTATGTACCTATGTCTATCTGTATGTACCTATGTCTCTCTGTGTCTATATGTACCTATGTCTCTCTGTGTCTGTATGTACCAATGTCTCTCTGTGTCTATATGTACCTATGTCTCTCTGTGTCTATATGTACCTATGTCTCTCTGTGTCTGTATGTACCTATGTCTCTCTGTGTCTGTATGTACCTATGTCTCTCTGTGTCTGTATGTACCTATGTCTCTCTGTGTCTGTATGTACCTATGTCTCTCTGTGTCTGTATGTACCTATGTCTCTCTGTGTCTATATGTACCTATGTCTCTCTGTGTCTGTATGTATCTGTGTCTATATCTACCTATGTCTCTCTGTGTCTGTATGTACCTATGTCTCTCTGTGTCTATATGTACCAGTGCTCATCCCCATTTTTTGTTGGTCCATTGTCTTTGTTTGTCTATTTTCCTGGTTCCTTATTTTAGTTTTTGATCAGTTTTTTTCCTGGATTTTCATTTCTTTCTTTCATTAAGTAATTCTTTTTTGCATTCCTGCTTTTTGGGTCCTTCCTTAATTTCTCCTCATGACAGATCCACCTTAAGAGCCCTTCTGCCATAGGTTTCAGCTCATAGCAAATGATCTCAGCCCATCCCTTTAGATATATTAGTAAATCCGGTATAATCCAGTATAGATCCACACAGGCCATTTCCTTATTACTCTGTTAATGGCTTTAATTGACGATATCGACATCAACACAGCTCTCATTGACGAACCCATTAGCTGCTCTGAAACACGCCCGATCTGTTGCTCCTACATTCCTCTCAGCCACATCTTTTGCCATATCCTAAATACAGTGAGAAAAAGCAGGGGCAGGATGGCAGCAGATGTCCCTGATGCCTTTTCAAACCAGCGAGACGACTGTGCCATCTGGAGTGGAGGTTATCGAACTCCGCGATGATCACTTGCAAACGCCGCCGTGTCTGCAATAAATATTTAATGGTTTTACGGTGGCGCGGAGGGTCTGTGTGGTGCGGGGCGAGCAGCTGGGGCCGGGGATTAGCCGCGGGTTTGCTAACAGTGTTCGAGAGCGGCTCGTCTGCGTCAGGTGGAAGTAACTTTGTACAGTTTTAAGGAGAAAAGAGGGGGTTTTGTTTGCCTGGTGTGGATTTCGGGGACTAGGGTTGAACAATGTGGATCTGCTTTCACAACTGGGGGAATAAACAGGAGCAAATGTGGCTGTATTTAAGTAATAGATCTGCTTTTGTCTGGTTCAGATCTCTTCACAGTCTGACATACAAGGCAGTCAGAATGTCATTGGGTCTGCAGTGTGCTGGGAGGAATTTTTCTTTATGTCAATTCTCTTGCAATCAATAGAGGATCCATCACTGTGTCCTGACTGACCAATCGAGTGTGACATGTGGGTGACATCATGGCTGATATACATAGTTCCCACATGACGTCACTACATACGGGGATTTGCCGACCCGGCGCCATTTGTGTTGGCATTCTGTGGGCAAAAAAATAGAAAAAGAAGCTGAAACGTGTTAATGTCGTGATAAAGTTGAAAATGGTCATCTCCTGCTGGGTCAATGGATGTTCAAATCGTGCCGGAGGTTCCGTTAAACTTGGATTTTACAGTTTACCCATCATTAGACTTCATGAATGTGAGAAGACTAAGCTTTTGTCAGAACTACGACGGAGGTTATGGCTTGCGAAGATAAACAGGCAAGAAACTCCCTCAAAACACGCAAGAATATGCTCGGAGCACTTTGTGTCAGGTGCGTATCGTATCTCATAATGTGTTGACAGACGTAATTTACTCAGTACTAACTTGTGTATGCTGATATCTGGTAACTTGAGAGTTTCATTATTTAGCGTTAGATTACTTTATTATGAGGAGGATCGGTGTCGCGTCCGAGGCTCTCGAGGGCAACGTAAATGTATTAAATAGATAATAATAGTTCTATGGTGGGCTAAAACAATGTTCACAAACAGCATTGCTTCTGTAAAAAGATCTGTGTCATAAAATAAACTGCTCTTTACGCCTGGAAAAATCAGTTGCCCACCATTCACCAAAACATACGGTCAAAAACGCGGAAATAAACAATAACAGCAATCCAGAGTGTCCGTGTGGCATTAGCATTAATTAAATTAATTGTTAATATAATTAAAATAATTAAATGGAGCTCCAACTGGTATTAAATCTAAAGTTTTTGAGAAATGTTTGCATTGCTTGTTAATTTTTGCTGCATAATTTGATCAAATATGTAAAACATGTCCGTAGGACGTTAAACTGTGGTGCCATTGTATTAATATACAATTATTTGCTCAAAAGTTGCCCTTTTTTTCCAATTTGCGTTTGAATATCTACATTTATTCTCATTCTTCTGTTTAATGGAATGCACAAACACAGCAGCGTGCCATCAAAGATGGCGTCTCCGAGGAGGTCATGTGACATTCATTGGTCTGTGGGAACTATGTATATGTGTGTGTGGGGGTCGGGTCTCTCCATCTGTGGACCCTCTCTCAGACAACAGTGTGTAGCTGATGACCTCCTGATGGCCAGAGCCTCTCTCGCCACGTCATTAAATGTCCTCCACAACTAGATTTTTGTTATACACAGTGTAATAGTAAAAACACAAATGTATGTCAGTAACCTGTGTTTTAAGTGGATATTTTCGAATAACCTTTTGTAGGTACAGCACCACATCCACCCGTCCTAAGCCAGTGTGTGTGGATTCAAAGGGTGCAATTAATGACAAAACAGCTCAGTTTGGGTGAACATATTTATAAATTGTGTAGAGATCTGAACCAGACAAAAGCAGATCTATTAACTAAATACTGCCACATTTTCTCCTGTTTATTCCTCCAGATGTGACAGCAGATCCACTGTTCAGCCCTAGTCCCTGAAATCTACACCAGGCAAACAAAACCCCCCTTTGTGGTATTTTTGTTATATTTTATTAATTTTTTTAAATCTTGTTTGTACCTGCATGCTGTGTGCGATCTCCTCACGGTCTGAAAGGATCTCTGCCAGGTTCTTGGTGCCCAGGACGTTCCTCAGCGTGGTCTGAGCGAGCAGACGAGTGGCGGCGTCAGCGTTCGTGATGTTGGCGACGGCCAGAGTGGCGTTCTGCACACGGTAGTACACCACGCCATCCACGCTCACCGTCACTGAGTCTTTGGTCAGAACCTACCAGAGATAGACACACAAGGAGACAGAGAAGCAGAGACGCAGTTGCAGTTAAAATCATATTGAAATATTTTTTGAAAATTATGCAGCGTGCACAAAGGACAAAAAAACGAAAAACAGAAAAACACAGTAAAAAAGTACAGTGGCAACTTCAACAGATGTTTGCATCATCTGTGTTCATTTTGGCCATAAACATGATCTTGAGAATATTCACTTTTCCAGTTCACGTTGTTAAAAAAAAGTAATAATGTCTGAACCATATGGGTAACTGAGATTATCCAGAAGAAGTGAGAAATAAGGCCCTGTTTCTACCAGCCCTACTTGGCCCAGCTCTACTCAACACAACTCTACCTGATAGCGTTTCCATGACGCTTTAGCATCTGGTACCATAGCAAACCTACCCACAACAAACCAGTACCAGGGGAAAAGCCTTGGTAACTAACCATGGCTTCCAGCAGAACATGAGGCCAATCTCTGTCAGCTAGAACACTTTAGTACCAGCTCGGCCTGGACAGAACCAGGGCCAAGGAGGTATTAAAAAAAGTAACCGGTACCGGTTAAACAGGGCCGGTGGAAACGCTCTCAATCCAGGTAGAGTAGGGCCAAGTAGAGCTGGTGGAAACTGGGCTTTAGTCAGTTAGTGCTAAGATTGAAGTAATTTGACTGAAAAATAAATAAATAAATAAAAACAGACAATACTTTCTTTCCATGACATCAAAGTCTCCAGATTCTTCAAAACAGAAGGGGCAGTTTGCGTATGGGTTTGTAACTTAAGTTCCTGATAATAGCGTGAATGGAGCTAAAAACAAGCTCAAGGTCTCTATTGGAGGAGGAACAGTGTTGTGTGTACCTCTTGAGGAGGGATGTCGAAGGTGATGGTGCGCATGTCCACGTTGATGAAGCTGTCGGTGCAGGGCAGGATGAAGAACAGGCCTGAGGATCAGATACGCCTGTTAATTGGACCTGGAGACTCCAAAGCCCAATCCCAATTCTCTTTTGTCCCTCTAACCCTTGGTCCTACCCCTACCTCTTCCCCGTTAAAGGTAGGACTAAGGAGAGGGCTGAAAACATCGCCCTGTGAATTGAAATGCATGATAATGATTTTGAATAATGTAAAGTTTGGCACGTAGAGCGCAGTCCCAGCAGTGATGCAGGTTGAGGGAAGAGCTCCGCTTTTTTTGAGATCTACTGTAAACTGCTCACTTAGCTGCACGGGTTAGCAAATAGATGACTGACTGAGGGAGAAGCGGCTGGCTGACATGAGGCCCAGTGATTGAGGTTTGAAGGAGCAGTCTTCCAGTCTGAATCTCTGCTTTAGCTGCATTTCCTGAAGATCACAAAATCGAAGTTGAACCATTGCGGTTGGAACAGGTTGCAACAATTTGGTTAGGAATGCTCATATAAGGTCTAAAGAACCCCTGTTTTTCCAAGACTTTATCAGCTTCAAAATGAAAGGGTTTAGTCAAATATTAGTTTTAAAACCTAAATATTCACTCCTATTACAACAGCAATTTCAAATCAGAAGAGAGACAAATGGACATGATTGTGTATTTGAACGTTCCAGGGATGAGCAGGGCCAGTCTGTAGAGTTTACACACACACAGAGCTATTTTTATAAACAGCTGGCAGGAATTCACTGGAATCAGATTTCAGTGTTTGGTTTGAACCAGGGCCAATTTTAAACAATGATGAAGTAGGGCTGGGCGATATGGCAAAGAAGTAAAATCTCGATTTTATTTCCTGCTTTGGACGATGTCGATTTTAAATCGATTTTCATTAAAGTCACTCAAGACAGACTTTGCCCTTAAAATATTTTTTATCTTCCCGCTCAATATTTAAGTTTCAAAACTATTTTTTATTTGTTTCCCCCAATACATATTATAAAAGGGTTGTACAGACTGTGCTGATATCGCAAGTATAATTGATGTGCTGCTGGAACTCTCACAATATCCCTCATTCGATTTAACGATTTTCACATTTTTCACGAATTAGATTTTTTCAAAAGCCGATTAATTGCCAAAATTCGATTTATTGCCCAGCCCTATGATGAAGTGAAGCAGCCATGACATAAGATCGGACAAGGGCGAAGGTTTGCGTGGGGACATGTCTCACTCCTCACCAATTTTAGGGAGGACTAAAATGTCCTGTCATCATATAAGATGATGTCCCGGACCGAACCCACCGTCTCCAGTTTATTCATCCTCGTTCCAGAGCAGCAGCAGTTCTACGAGTAGATGCACATATATGCAAAGATTCGCACTGACATATGTCACCACTGACTTTGAACTGAAACTTGCTGCAATGCATGATCCAGTGGGAACGCAGATTTAAACTCAACAAACGGAAGAGGGTGGGAGCCCAAAACTCTTTATGAACAGGGTCTGTGATGGCACAATGTGAAGCAAACTTACAACTCTCAGCCCCAGAACAGTCATTCAAACAAATGGGGGATGTAAAAAAAGGTATATGGATGTCTTGATTCATCAAAAGTAAAGAATGAATGCATTACTTGATCACTGACATAATGGTTAGTCACAGCTCTGCACTTTCCTCTTACATTTCAAATTTGTATTACATGTTTCCTCTCTTTCCCTTTCTGAAAGGTCCCGCTCAGTCCGGCCCCGCTCTCGGCCTTCATATGCCCTAAAAATTGCCATGGCAACAGAGGTTATTAGATTAAAGAGGGGAAGTCTATCAGGCAGGCCCATAAATGTCAATGGTGAGGTCTGCCCAGAGACAAACTATTGAAGATGGAATGAGAAATGGATGAGTGCTTGTTTGTTTGCAGATTTCAGTCAGTCCAAATGGTCTTGTGGGTTTTTTTAGACACGCTAACTCACAAAGAGAATGCGACCTCTGAAACATTCTCAAGCCTCCACTTCCGGCTGGATGTTGATGGTTTTTCCATGGTGTAGAATCAGAACAGGGCCCCAGCCTTTAGGATGGTTGCACTGGTGCGCTGACTATTCATCATATATTAAATATCCTAGAAGTCAGTTACTTTTTAAATTGTGAAAATGAAGAGGCAAGCAGCAGTTAGACCCGCCCCCCACACGATGCTGATTGGACCCAATGAAGTCCAACCCTTGTCATTGATCTAACAACACTCCTCCAGCAATGGTACTGGTGAGGCATCAGATTCAGATTCAGATTCAGACTCCTTTATTAATCCCACCAGGGGCAATTATTCCAGGGGCAGGAACTGTTATAACCCTTTAATGGTTTCCTCAACCATTTGGTAGATCACTTGGTTTTAGGCACTTTTACCATCAAACTGCATCTCAACCTTTTGGCCTAATATTTAAAAAAACTAGGGCTTAAAAAAAACATAAAAACAAATACATGGGTAAAATATACATGTAGTATGAAGAATACTTATTACAGGTAATATTACTGTTAAAAAATATGTATTAAGTTTAAAATGAAGTACAAATGAAGTTGCACACATCACCTTTAAATCATGTAAATCTCAAGTTTATACTGGATGAATAGCTAACGCTCCACTGTGGTTGTGCAAAAGAGGGAGGGGCCACAGGGCGAAGTGACCATTGTGAGATTTGGCTCTTCATGATATACAGTATGAGATTGGTGTATTATCATTTACTGTATAATTATGATTCTCAGTCAAACATGCAGCTGACACCAACAGAAAGGTGAAGAACAAACACATGTAGGGACCCAGGATACGGTGGGGTATTGCGGTGAAAAGCGTGTGTGTTTGTTGCTCTGTCCTGACCTGGTCCCTTGGCCCCGCCCCTCAGGATGCGTCCCAGGCGAAAGATGATGGCTCGCTCGTACTCCTTCACTATCTGCGCACACAGAACCAGGACAATGAGAAACACGCTCCATTGTCGGACATGATTCCATTACACCAGCGCCTTGTAAATAAAGAGCAGCTGCAGCCAAGAGGAGGATTAGAGACATATTTGGAAGGACTGACAAACACAGAAACAACAATAGACTCTCAAACACAATGGGAAAAACGCTCTATATAGTCCTGATCTAAAGGGTTTGTGAATGTACAGTACATCTTCCACTGCTCAATCTTTATAGATTTTTGTAACTCTCTGTACTGTGGTATGGACCTAAGATACAGTGCCTTGCGAAAGTATTCGGCCCCCTTGAACCTTTCAACATTTTGCCACATTTCAGTCTTCAAACATAAAGATATAAAATTTTAATTTTTTGTCATGAATCAACAACAAGTGGGACACAATCATGAAGTGGAACAAAATTTATTGGATAATTTAAACTTTTTTAACAAATAAAAAACTGAAAAGTGGGGCGTGCAATATTATTCGGCCCCTTTACTTTCAGTGCAGCAAACTCAGTCCAGAAGTTCAGTGAGGATCTTTGAATGATCCAATGTTGTCCTAAATGACTGATGATGATAAATAGAATGCACCTGTGTGTAATCAAGTCTCCGTATAAATGCACCTGCTCTTTGATAGTCTCAGGGTTCTGTTTAAAGTGCAGAGAGAACCATGAAGACAAAGGAACACACCAGGCAGGTCCGAGATACTGTTGTGGAGAAGTTTAAAGCCGGATTTGGATACAAAAAGATTTCCCAAGCTTTAAACATCTCAAGGAGCACTGTGCAAGCAATTATATTGAAATGGAAGGAGTATCAGACCACTGCAAATCTACCAAGACCCGGCCGTCCCTCCAAACTTTCATCTCAAACAAGGAGAAGACTGATCAGAGATGCAGTCAAGAGGCCCATGATCACTCTGGATGAACTGCAGATAACTACAGCTGAGGTGGGAGAGTCTGTCCATAGGACAACAATCAGCCGTGCACTGCACAAATCTGGCCTTTATGGAAGAGTGGCCATTTCTCAAAGATATCCATAAAAAGTCTTGTTTAAAGTTTGCCACAAGCCACCTGGGAGACACACCAAACATGTGGAAGAAGGTGCTCTGGTCAGATGAAACCAAAATCAAACTTTTTGGCCACAATGCAAAACGATATGTTTGCTGTAAAAGCAACACAACTCATCACCCTGAACACACCATCCCCACCTCAGCTGTAGTTATCTGCAGTTCATCCAGAGTGATCATGGGCCTCTTGTCTGCATCTCTGATCAGTCTTCTCCTTGTTTGAGATGAAAGTTTGGAGGGACGGCCGGGTCTTAGTAGATTTGCAGTGGTCTGATACTCCTTCCATTTCAATATAATTGCTTGCACAGTGGTCCTTGAGATGTTCAAAGCTTGGGAAATCTTTTTGTATCCAAATCCGGCTTTAAACTTCTCCACAACAGTATCTCGGACCTGCCTGGTGTGTTCCTTTGTCTTCATGGTTCTCTCTGCGCTTTAAACAGAACCCTGAGACTATCAAAGAGCAGGTGCATTTATACGGAGACTTGATTACACACAGGTGCATTTCTATTTATCATCATCAGTCATTTAGGACAACATTGGATCATTCAAAGATCCTCACTGAACTTCTGGAGTGAGTTTGCTGCCCTGAAAGTAAAGGGGCCGAATAATATTGCACGCCCCACTTTTCAGTTTTTTATTTGTTAAAAAAGTTTAAACTATCCAACAAATTTCATTCCACTTCACGATTGTGTCCCACTTGTTGTTGATTCAAGACGAAAAATAAAAATTGTATATCTTTATGTTTGAAGCCTGAAATATGGCGAAACTGTATATATTTGTATTATTTATTTTCTTCAGGTAAAAGAAGCGCAAGATAATCTACTTGCGAGTCAATCGATTGCAAGAAGAAAATTACAGATACAAATATTGACAAAGACTCAGAACATGATGCTCAAAAGGAGTAGGAGGTTAAGACGTATGCTTGCTCATAGGGATAAGTACGAGAGAGCACATTACCCCTGTACTGCCCTCACTGCCGCTGGTTCCCCGTCACATTCAGGATTGATTTTTAAAGATTCTGATGCTTGTTTTCAAATGTTTTAAATGGTTACTGTATACTTCTGAGTTGTTATCTTTGTATGCCCCTGACCTGGTAGTCTCTCTGGTTTCTGTCTCTGGGCCAGAGATAGAGGATTTCATTCATAGTGTGTATTCTGGCTGGTAGGGGAAACCGGAGCGCCTGGAGGAAGCACACCCAGCCACATGATAAACATGCAGTCACCATACAATATGATTGAATGAAAATGTAAATAGAGCTGTTGAAGACGTCTGCTTTTACCCCGCAGCTTGACCTGTGTGCGTTCTGACAGGCGCCATGGTAACCACATTATCGGGCTGTACATGGAGACCGCGAGGGTCACTATGGAAACAGATGCATCTCCATAATGCAGCAAAACATTTTAAAGCAATGGTAGATCTAACGACTCTTGCTTGGTTGGGAAGGCATTTTCTTCTACTCTGTGCTTTTCTATGAACTCACATAAAAGTTCTTAAAGGTCTTTCTCAATTTTTCGGAGAAAGAGGAGGAGGAGAACACACACCTTGATGCACATCCAGATGGAGATGGGCAGAGTGACCAGCATGAGCAGCATGGAGAAGGCCACCAGCACCCAGCCGCACAGCCCCAGGTCCGAGTCCGGGTTTTCCAAGGCTGAAGGCAGAACAGAGACATGTCACAAAGCTGACTCTTCATGAAAAATATGAAAACAAATGTGTCTAGAATTAGGGCTGTAACTGGTTTTAATCACAATCACAACTCGTCGATTATTGAAGGAATTGTCAACTAATTTAGTAATCAGAGAGTGGCAAACGGGTCTCGTCTCAAAAAACGTACTAAAAGAAGAGGTTTTATGACTGGAAATTCTACTCTACAAGACTATTTTAGATGCACTATTTAGGCAATTTTTTTTTTTTTTTTTTTTAGAATCATAAATAATAACAAAGCATAAAACAAGTAAAACTAATAAAAAACACAAAAACCAAAAAGGACACAAAAGGAGGAACAAAAAAACAAAAACAGACGATGACTATTTATATTATTTTACATACTCTCAAAATCTCTAAAGGAAGTAAAATATGCAGTCATAATTAGGAGTGTGACAATAGATCGATATGGTGATGTATCATGATACTTTCTCACGCAATTGATTATCAATACGCTTTTGCTAAGTATCAATTTAAAAAAAAAATTAAGCTTTACTTGAAAAAAATAAGTATTGATACTACATTACGCATTCTAAAATGTATGTAGAATGTTCATATTGATTTTATTGGATGTGAGACCGATTAAGTAAGATTTTTACTGAAATGTGCAGGTTAAAAGGTCTTTTTGCTTGTTCACTTTAATTCTACACATGACACTTTATCCATTTATCTTAAAATAAAGTGTATTTTTTCACTTAATTTATGCCAAAAATATGAGAAAATTATTATTGTAGGCATATTTTTGACCATTATATCAATAATCGCTGCATCGTCATATCGTGAGATAATCGTTATCGTGAGCTTTGTATCACACATCGTATCGCATTGTGAGGTACCCTGAGGCTCCCACCCCTAGTCATAATAACACAAATAATGACAAAATGTAACAGAGGATGACTAAATAGGCAAATCTATGACATCTATCATATTGAATATACTATATAAGGCATGAGACTACAGATACCTATAGGGACCAAAGCTTGACTACAAGGAAATTGGAGGAAAAAAAAAACATGAAAAGAAGTTGTTTCTCTTGTAATATAATCTGAATAAACTTGAATAAAATGAATTCAAAATGATTCACAGAGGAGAAAATGCATTCAAAATCACATTTAAAAAACTGAAACCAGCCCCCAGAGCCCCCACCACCACAGAAACTGGTACTACATCCTGCATTGGCATTGTTTTGGTGCTCATTAAACCACTAAAGTTTTCAGTTTCCTGTCACCGTGAGAACTTCATCTTCCCATGTGGCTTTCCCTTGTTCTTTTAAGTTAAAGAAAATTAGTACATCTGGGCTTTCAATAAGTTTTATACAAGTTTCCATTATGAGTCAAACTGCAACATTATAGTCTTTTTAATTCCTGCAGTCAGAGGAGCTAAAACAACGGGAGCTATGATACAAAGCAGCCAATAACCATCAGATTGAGGGTCCCAGTTGTGTGACCTGAGGGTCTGTGTGCAGATAAAATGTGCCAGAAGGTTAAAGGCATCAAGAGTGGAGAGCAACGTTTGAAGTGGAGTCTATGAAGCTTCACCTGAAAATCCCAGCACAGCTCCACCCCCTCTGATGCTTCAGACCTTTTTGCACGCAATCGTTTCACCTTATTACACTAGACAAGTCATGAAGGTGCAGACGTTTTCTTCTTTGGGAAACTTTTACTTTTGGAGCTTCCACTGCTGAACCCTCACCGGCACATTCACTGCTCAATCAAAAGTCTGCTGGTGTTCTTGAGTTTCGCAAGAGAGAGTGAACTTGACCAATAATAAGTCTTCCATAACAAGGCTGTCTAATGTCATGTACCAATTCAAATGTTACACCACAAAAGCTTAGAGTTTGCTCCTCCACTCCTGAAAATAAAACCTCAAAAAAATCCTGAAAGCCATGTTCGGTGCTACAATAATGTGGTCCAGTTTCTGAGCACCAGCCACAAAAAACAATGATATGTGACGTTAGCAAATGTGATGGTCCATTTTATTTTTTTCTCCTTTAATACCATTACCAACAAAATAATAGTTAATTTTAAAGACCTTATGTCGGGTTTGATTTATTTAGAAATACAATTTTAATACCATTTTATATAGAAGAGAACTACTAAAGGTTTCAAAATCAGTTGTTGTTTTTTTTGTCTGATCCCCCCAAATCGAAATAACCCCATAGCAACGCCCTTAGAGACGAAAAAACTTCACAGCCCTTGGTGACGTCAGAGTGGGTACGTTTTCAACGCTGTAAGTTGTTTACAATTTGGTATTCGTTCTTTTTTTCGCGGATATTCAAGAGGACTTGCGTGTTACACTAGGAGTATTGAGATTACTACTAGATTGTGACACTCATTGGTACTACTTAGAGATAGGACCCTCCAGTGGTTTGTGTCGTGTCACGAGGGAGTGCACTGTTACTGCAGTGGACTTCATACTGTAACACTTGTTTAAATTAATGGGACTGGTGCCGGCTAATGCAATGCGCAACTGGGTTTTCATCAGAGTGTGGTGGGTGCTTTGCTCTAAAATGTCCAAATTGAGTGTGGCTGACATGCTTACAATAGCCCCCCTGGTCCGATGGGGATGGGACCCGGAATAAGAATTAGCCAACGCAAATGTATAGCATCTTCTTACCTCTCAAAAACGGCTTTACAGGATGGTACCAGTCTAGATTAGTTGTTATGGAATTTTGAAAGCAAATGAGTTTTTTCACATTTTCCATTTTGAAACGCCCATAGACGGCGAAAGTGTGGCACATTGGTTTCAACAAAGAAAACGAGCAGAGTTTTGTGGCATTAAAGTGTGGATTTACAGAAAATCTAAGGATTTGAGAAGACAAAAAGATCTTTATGAAAGCTGTAGGTTCTCTGTCAGCTGAGTCGAGCTGTTTTAGTTTTACATTGAGTTCTAGGGACTTTTTTCTGGGTAGTCCGCAAATTAATTTAGTCTGCAGTACTACCGTGGGCGCCCCCTGTGCCCGGAGGTGGGACAGCTATAAGCTAGTAATACACAATTTATATATTATAGGTTCCATATGTTATATGTGGGAATATTAGTTTCCTGGTGGAATTCCTTGTCATCCTGAACTTTTTTTCCTTCTTGAAATCCCTCGTATCTCTAAAAACCACTCTAGTGCCGACAAATTGACTCCCACTCTAACTCCTGCTCTAGCTTCCGCTCTGATCACAGCTTTGATTGGTCAGTGACATGTCGTGCCCCTCTCACACGAGCATGAGAGCCACTTAAACCATGGATCTATTAGAATAAAACGCGTAATTGGTGCATAAGCGATCATGGGGAGCTCGTCGACTGCGCAGGCAACTGGTGAGGAACGCATAGATCTATGGATAGTAACTGGATAGTTGTGATACCTAGCTTAAAGCTGTCCCAGCCCCATAGGGCACAGAGGGCGCCCGTGGGTACTGACAGACTACATTCACATGGCTACCAGAAGATGTTTCCATAGAACCAGTGTAAACTAAAACCAGCTCGACCCTCCGCTGACAGAGAACCTACAGCTTTCATAAAGATCTTTTTGTCTTCCAAATTCCTTAGATTTTTCTAAGGTCTGTGTAAATCCACACTTTACTGCCAAAAAACTCCTGCTCGTCTTTCTTTGTTCGAAACCAATGTGCCACCACTTCCGCCGTCTATCGGGCAATTTTCAAAAATGGAGAAATGTGAAAAAACTCATTTGCTTTCAAATTCCATAACAACTAATCTGACTTACCATCCCTGTAAAGCCGTTATAGAGAGGTGAAGAAGATGCAATACATTAGCATTGGCTAATTCTTATTCCCGGGTCCAACCCGCATCGGTCCAGGTGGGTATTGTGACCATGTGCAGCACACTTCAATTTGGACATTTTAGAGCACAGACCCACCCCCACTGATGAAAACCCCCATTGCGCTTGCTTTAGCCGCACCAGTCCCATTAAGTTTAACAAGTGCCTATGAAGTCCACAGCAGCTAAACTAGACTGGTCCACAAAATATAACTGCCCCTCGCATATGACACATCTGTCAATGTTGCTTTGGGGTCAAAGAGGCAACTTTTGACCATCCTAGATAGAGGTTTGTCAAGAGGAACGGTAGAATAGGCATGAAAAGAGGCAGCATTGCAAGTATGTCGGGCGCCCATGCTCATAACCTTGTTGAGCCTGGACACGTCCCTAATGGTTTCAACAGGTAGCTTGTATGGCAGGTCTGAGCAAAAACAAAAATATATCAGGAATCCTGAAAAGTGTAGAGAAGATCTGAAGTGGAAAATATAACTACTCAATTACACAAATGAACCGGGGCTGGAAGCTGAGTGTTTTTCTACTGCTGCAGATGAGAAGATTGCTGCAGAGATGGTGCTGCTCTACAGCAGGAAGCCAACAACCCAACCAGAATACACAGGAATGGGGACTGGAAGAACCAACTGTGACCCAGAATTTTGTTTGTCCCAAGAGAGAGTCTTGAAGGGATCATAGACAGATCGCAATCAGCAGCTGCCTACGGTGGCAGTAGCTTTCGTCCTTCAGATATGATCAAGAACAGTCAAGTGGAAAATTCACCTCGTTAGAAGAATGATGAGTTCCCACTTTCAATCTGTAAACATTAGCATCTGCTAGCTTTTGGACCTGTGTTGTTTAGTATGAAGATGTTTATCACTCAAGGATGCCCCCGTATCCGTCTGTTTTGTGCACATCTCAAGCCAGCACAGGTACAAGTTGGCCACTACAGTTTTGACAGAGTTCTTGTAAATTGAACATATTGTGAACAAATCAAGACCACAAACCTGCTTTCCACATGCCTATTAGAAAACATTTTTACTGTACTGGTAAAATGTGACAGAGTGAGGTCTCCAGTCCAAAAAATACATAAAATATGAGCATCAGTTATAAAGCCGAACAGTTTGAGATAATTGATACTGATTGATTAGCAACAGTTATGATGAAAGTTTTATTTGAACATGGAATAAA